CCCCATCACATCCAAACTTTTGATCCAGGTCATTTTTGTGTGTTGGTCGATTGAATGTATACCGTTCGATATAGAATATGTGGCACAAGAGGCGACTTGGTACCTAACTTTTTCGGCAGTAGCTATTAGTATCACTGCCTTTCCCAAAAGATAGAACTGACCACACTGGACGTTGGCTTAAGATCATTTCATTATAAACTATGGAAACTTTCGTAAGGAGATATATATTTTCTGTGTCTACTCGAATTTTAGTGTGTTGTTTTACTAAATAGCCCCTTTAAGATCGAATTGTGTTTTTGATGTCGCTATCAATTTCTTCGATACCTATTTGTCTTAATTTGTCTTAATCTTACTGTCGATGTTTGTCTGTAGAATATGAAGGATTGTTGCATTTTTTTTGGGGGGGGGGGGGGGCCTGTCTGACATTGATCATCCTCAATACTCCAGGGGTTACTCGCACTTTCGCTCTATGGACAGTGCAAATATGAAAGTTACCATTGGAAATAGTCCTAATAGACCAGACCCTGCGGTCGTCTCCCTTACTTATCATTATCCATGATAACTAGTCCCGATCTCAATTATTCGGCTAGATCGACTCACTATTCATGTCGAAGTCGAGGAAGACGCTGTGGAGTTCTGTTCTGGAGAGCATGTAATCATGGTCTACGTCAGCCAATAAGAACAAATTACGCGCCTCCTCGCTGTCATGGTCAGCAAGATTGATCCCGTGTGTGTGGCCGGCAAGTGAGCCTCTGTATATAAAACAACAACTCCGATACAAGGGATATTCCGTCTTTGCGTATTGCAGAGTTATCTTCTCTTGGGAGCAGGTATTGATTGTTACGTCACTTGTTTGTGAGAGTAACGTCATCAATTTTTGAGAAAACGACGTAATTTTCTCGCACAAACAAGTGACGTAACAATCAATACCTGCTCCCAAGAGAAGATAACTCTGCAATACGCAAAGACGGAATAAGCATTGTTTAATGCATCCTATGGGGTGAGGCTACGTTGCAAAATCGCTAACACAGACAAATTAACACATTGATATGCATTATACCATATAGTAATACATCTGTAATTAGAACGTTAGAGTAAACTTAAACGTTATTTTTATGATGTAATCATTCTCTAATGATTCTTAGCGTATCTTTACCTGTATCAGTAAGAGAAGCGCTCTGATGTTCGGTTTTACATCAGCGCGTCATGGACGCCACGAGTAAAGATAACAATGGCTTAACAATTACATACTCACGTGACAAGGCACAACACAACAACAAGTGATAATGACTGCATCTTTTTCTGAGAATGAAAAAAAAATGATCAAATATCAATGAAATAGCAGAAAGTATTCGACAACAATACGAGACGGCATCATCAGTATAGTGTTCAGATTCCAGCCGACTTCATATACTGTCTTTATGTCTTTATGAACAAAATATTATCGGTGACAATATAATTGCATCGGAGTTAATTGTGTAAATCACACATTATAGAAAACCAGATTCGTATAAAATAACAGGATCGACTTGTCCACATCCAGGTTTGATTATGGCTCGTGATCAAACATGTATAGCATATGGTGGAGACAGGACAGTGTAAAAAGTTGTCGTTCGCGGAGGAGGTTAGGACTAGAGGAAAGAATGAAGTTTTTGTGAGACCTGGGAGGAAGTTTAAACTAGGGGACAAAAGAAACGTGTGGGGTCCAGGGAAGGGGACCTCGTACAGGACGAGAGGCAGAATTAACGTTGGGAGTCCGTCGGCAGAGGAGGTTACAGGACGAGTGAACAATACAAAGAAAGTCCTAAGAGAAGCAATAGGAGCTAAAGGAGAGGATGAGAGCGAAAGAGATATACATTTCATATGTGTTCAAGGAAAGGTTTGAGATGAAAGAAAAGTAATTACATTGTGAATCGTGGGCGTTGTAGGAGATTTTTGGGACGGAAGGGAAGCACATGCATATTATCGATGTTCAAGGAGATGTTAAGGACGAAATGCAAGTGCAAACATTGTTTTCATTATGGGTGTGCAAGGAAAGGTTAAGACAGAAAAGAAGTTCACATATTTTGTACCATGGGTGGAAGAGAAGTACATATCATAGATGCTCAAGAAGACAAAAAAAAGGACATTTGGTTGTTCAAGGGGAGCTTTAGGATGAAAGAAATGTACATGCCATGGGTGTTCAAGGGGATGTCGAGTACCAAATGGAAGCGCATATGGCTGTTCAATGATCGAGATGTTTAGTACGAAAGAGAAACACGTCATGAATGTTCAAGGATAGGTTTAAACGATTGAGTGGTACAAACCTCAGGAATCCACAGATAAGTTTAGAATGAAGGGACAGAACAACAAACGTTTGGCGTTCACGGAGACGTTTAGTATGGCAGTAAAGTACGAAACTCGGGAATATACAAGCTGGTTTAGATCGAAGGTGCAGTACAAACCTTGAGAGTCCGCAGATAGGAACCAGGCGATCGGGGTTAACGCGTGTGTAATGGTCAATAGATAAGACCGAGGTCAGCTGTGCTGGTATTATCTTACCATGGCATGCAGTGCTGATGTAACATATATATATATATATATATATAAGATTAAACTTACATGTTACGAAACTTTCAAACTATAACACAACATTGTACATACCTTGAAACACCTTTATAATGACCCTATAGTAAATTTTGTATGTATGTATGAACTTACGCATACCCATACATGTACACACATGTATTTAATTCGATTTCACGAAAAAAGTAGGCTTACCATGTTGATAAAATATAGTGCCTGATGACGTTTAATTTGCTAATCCAAAGCGACTTAAACAAGAATCCCGTTACACGTCATAATAAACAACTTATAATATTCATAATTTACAGTTCAATTCCGACACTTGGAAGAATCGTTTGGTTATGATGATCATCAATCAATATTTTCTCCAAAATAATGAAGAGTAAAATATGGATAAGAACATTAAGTTCAAGTGACAGGGAAAAAAGAATTAGTGCAAACAAAAATTGAAATACAATTGATATAAATATAATTTTATAATCACAGCTTTAAAAAGGGAATAGACAATTTAATCAATCAGTGATAATTGGGTAATGAGATATTCATTGTTACACCGACTTCTTGAAAATTAGCTAGCGTTTACTGGTTAGTGTAAAGTGAACGCCTTTTCGGAAAATATTATAAGACTCTTTCACGTCCAGGGGTGTAGGATAGAGAAATTCCACCCTCGGGATTTTTAAATTTGAAAAACCCTCGGGTGGAATTTCCCTATCCTACACCCCTGGACATGAAAGAGTCTTATACTATTTGGGAATGAAAGAGTAGTTTTCTCTCATTCCAACTACCATATTAAGCTTAGAAACCATGTCTTGACTTGTTGTAGTGTCTTGTCCTCCTTTCGTATAGGAGCTGTCCAGGGATCCTGGAGAGTGATTGGTATATCATATATGGATTAAAAAGTCATAAAAAACACTATTTGGGTTGATCCATTAAAATTCACGATATGTATCCAATAAAACAGGAACAATGTCCCTCACCACATGCACATGTACACGGTACTCCGGAGTCTGGAGATTTTAAAAGTTATTTACATTAGTATAAGATTTCTAAAAACTGGATCGTGGGCTGCTTGAATTGCTACACTACTTGCAGTGGCATAATGTCTTAAAAATGCTTAGACAGTTAAAAGCTAAAAGCTAGATATAGTCACTAAAAGCATTTAGAGAGCACTAAAGAGCACTACAAGCGGGTATTAAAACACAGCAAGCGGTATGGTAAAAGCCCTGAAGCAAGTCCACTAGAAGCGTGCGGTTAAGAATGTTATAAGTTAAAAAGACAGTTTGACGTAACACTGTACACTTTAAAAACAAATATAACTCATAGCTTGTTGTTCCTTCCCCTCCCCCTGTAATTTGGATTACAGACCGGATGATTTAACTTTCCACTTTATAGGGACTCACAGTTCGTGGTGCCTACACACAGCCGCGAGCTGATAGTATTTCAGCCCGTTTGAGGTGGATGGAGTAGCAGAGGTTGCGCGAAAGTCTCTCCAACTCTGTTGTGTTCCTACGGTTGAGGGTTACGTGCCCTTGCAGTGTTTTTGATGTTGGGTCCAGAAGAAGCTGTAAAAGTAGGTTGTTTGCCTTGATGGTTTCAGTAGTGCCCCTTCCACCAATTCTCTCTAGTAGGTCCTCAATTTTTTGCATGTGTCCGATTCTTGTAGACTCCAGCATTTGACATCGGAGTAGGAAATGGCTAATGTCCTCTTCCTCTTGCATACACAACAAGCAAGTCGTATCAACACTGTTTTTGTTGAATTTTGCCGCTCTGCATTGGAGGTTGTATGTGCTGGTGGCAAGTCGAGCTTTAATTTCAGCTGCCTTGACGTCTCTTGGTGACGTTCCGGTACTGGCCCAGATGTTGTGTGCCTTATACAGAGGTTGGTCTTGTATTTGGAGGTAGCGCAGGGAGGATTATTTTTCCAGATTTTCCTCACAAGTTTTTTTCCAGAGATCGTTGGTTGCTGATTTTAGCATCCGTTTCCATGTTGGTTTTTTAGGAGGATCTTCGAGAATGGACCACGCTGTTGGGAGGCTGTACTTGCCGAGGAGTTGCGCCGCCCTTGAGGCGAAGCATGAGCTGTCTTGGCTGTTCATCAAGAGTGATCTGCGAAGGATGGCATATTCGACAGCTTCTGCGTTTCTAGCAATGTTGACGAAGAAAGTCATGATGTTCTTCTCCGGGGTTATGCTGATTGGTTCAGCGCCAATTAGCGTGTATACAGCTGTGCTGGCTGTTGCTGTTGGTAATCCCTGGAGTTGCTTCAGTATCTTCCTGTGTGCCTTTTCGATGTTTTCCCTCTCTGTGATCGTTAATGTCATTACTTCTAGCCCATACGTAAGACGTGGGACAGCGTATGCTTTCCAGAGCTTGTGCGTGGCAGTTGGAGACATGCCATTTTTGCGTATAGCCCCGCTCCTAGCAGTGCATAGATGGTATTCCTCGCACATTTGATCCGTTCATTGGTATTCGCTTTGTTGGTTTTTGAGCAGATTATGCCCAGATGTTTTGCTTCCACTGATGGTGTGATTGTGGTTCCCCAAAGTTGACAGCTGACTCGCAGCTTTTGCTGTTTCCATATATAATCAGCTCCGATTTTGCAGCATTGATGGTGACTCGATCTAGCTCAGTATGGTGGTCTACGAGCTCCAGAATTGCTTCCATTTCATGGTGGTTATTTGCCAGAAGGGCGATGTCGTCTGCACAGGTCGGGCATGCGATGTTGATGTAACCGATGTGGGATCCCATGTCTGTGTTGGTAATACTGTCGAGGATGGTGTTGTTGTATACTTTATAGAGTGTTGTCGAAAGTTTGGCGCCCTGTTTGGTTCCTTGCTTAAGATGTACGTTGTTTGAGGTATTGTTTTCCCATTTTACTTGTTCTTGTACATGTTCCGTAGGAGTATCCATAGTGGTCCTTTTACTCCTGCATGGTATAGTTTGTTGAATAAAATTTCGTGGTTTACGGTGTCAAAGGCTTTTTGGGCGTCCAACGTCACAAGAAACAACTCCTTTTGGTTTTCCTTTGCGTCTATAATAGCTTCCGAAATCATGAGTGCAGCTCCTAGGGGGGAGACACCAGCTGTGAATCCTCTTTGGAGTGGATTTTGCTTTTGGCTCAGTATTTCCTCCAGCCTAACCTTGATAATTGCTTCAAAGACTTTAGAGAACACGTTTGTGACGGTGATACCTCTATAATTAGATGGAATTGTCTTTTCCTTTCCTTTTTTGAGGATCGGTGTAAGGATCCCCTCTTTCATGGGTTGAGTTTTGTCCAAGTTTTGTAGCAGCTTGTTGAATGTTTGCGTTAGTGCTGTTGTTAACTCATGTCCTGCATACATTAGGTGCTCTGCTGAGATGACATTTGCGTCCATGGCTTTTCCAGAGTTGAGGTTCCTAATGGCCGTCTCTACTTCATTTTCCGTGATTACTTGGATCTTTTCATCTTTTGATAATTCCGTTTCCATGATGATGTCGTTTTGGATTTTTGATAACTTTTCCCTGGTTAGATCTTGGTTGTTTGTCTCTGGTGGGGTGGCCAATTGCTGAAAATGCTTATCCCATTGCTCTAGGATTTCGAGTGGCTCAGAGTAGACGTTGTTGTTAACTTGAATGACTTTGGTCGTTGAGGAGCCCGATGTCCGTTGCTTATTTACAAGTTTATGGAATAACTTGCTGTCTCTTGATGACGATTCCATAATGTCTCGATGGAGTTGGTCCCGTTGTGCCGCATATGCTCTTCTTTGTAGCGCTCTAACTCTCCTTTTTAGCCTTGTCCCTTTCGTCCGGAGTGCGAATGCTTCTGTCTCGTTTTTACATTTCCTCAGTCTTGTTTGAGCTTTTTTGGATTCTTTTATGGCTTCAGCCATGTCCTCATTCAGTATTGCCTTCCCCATCTTCTTCATTGTGACGACTTTCCTGTATTTTGGAATGGAGACCTCTCCTGCTTTGTGTAGCGCTTTCTCCAGGTCCTTTAGGTCTCTTTCTGGGCTATTTCCGCATGGGTTAGCGATAAGAAGATCGAGGTCAATAGCAGGCGATTCCTGATATTTTTCCATGTTGCATTTATTCCAGTTGGGTTTGAGTTGAATTCGATGTGGCTGCAGTTTAGCTTTGGAGATGAAGATTGGGGAGATTTCAATGAAGATAGGTACGTGATCCGATGTGTTTGTAGGATCCATGTCAGAGATGTAGACTGGTGGCTTCCGAAACTCTCCTTTAGCTGGAAGGAGGAAGTGGTCAATGTGAGAATTTGACTTTCCGTTGTGGTTGTGGTAGGTTGGTTTGTTCGTTGCTGCCGCAGAGAACAGGTTGTTTTTCTCATAGAATTCCTCGAAAGCGGAGTCTCTTGGTGATTGTTTCCTTTTCGGCATGGCATTCATGTCTCCGGCAATGATCACCGAGTGCGACATGCTGTATTTGTCCAGAATTTCATGTAGCTGACCGAGTGTGTCTCTGTATTCCGACATGTCGCTGCTGGAGGGCATGTATACATTTACGAGGCATAGAGGCTTTGAAGTCGTGTTGATTTGGATGACGATTATTCGGTTACACCCATCTGGCATTACTTTGATTGCTTGGTCGATGTCTTGGTGCCATAGTATTGCGACTCCTCCATATCCTCTCCTTTTTTTGAAGGCTACTTCAAATATGAATTTTGAATATGTGATATGCGCTTGGACTGGCCTACCATTTTGAAATATCTATTTTCCCTGAGATTTTTTGGCAGAAAACGAATTCATCAGCGAGTAAGCATACCCCATTTTGCAAACAGATTTTGCGCAGAAAAAAATAACTTCTCCTCTCTAACCTGTATTCTATCGTAACAGGTTATATTTTCATCACGTTGCCTTTTCCGCATTGCGTAATTTTCTCACACAAACCAATGACGTAACAATCAATACCTGCTCACAAGAGAAGATAACTCTGTAAAACGCAAAGACGGAGACTCTTTCATGTCCAGGGGTGTAGGATAGGGAAATTCCAACCGAGGCGTTTCCAAATTTGGTAAAACCCGAGGCTTTGAAATTCCCGAGGGTGGAATTTCCCTATCCTACACCCGTGGGCATGAACGAGTATTTTTCTCTCGTTCCAACTACCAGAATGAGCTCAGAAACCATGAAAATGTATTTGGACTGGCTACAATTTTGAAAATATCAATTTTTCCCCTGAGCTTTTTTGACGAAAACGAATTCGTCAGCGATACTTAGCATACCCCATTTTGCAAACAGAGTTCTCGCAGAAAAAATAATCTCATCTTTCTAACGTGTAAGGTAAATGTATCGTAAAAGGTTGCCTTTTCCGCATTGCGGCCGCGATGTTTTCCAAATTCGTGACGTCACGTCATTGTTGAGCCATTGTGACGTCACGTCCATGTAAGAGAGTATCCCGCAAATGCTAATTCTAACTCGACGCAGTCTAACAAACAATTGGAGGCTGCGTCTTCAAGCGTCTTCAAATGTTCACAATCATGGGGTCCACATTTTGGAAACAACTCTGCAAGTTCCAATTAAAGAAGGTAACACTTTGAAAAGTATAAGCTCAATGAAGACTTACATTTCAGGATGAAGACTTATGAATCTCGAAAATTCTAGTCATCCGCGTCTTTACAAAGAAAAACATTTTGAACTAGGTTTTTCCAACGTAACTTTGGAAGAGAATTACCCGACTCAAATAATTCATTAAAAAAAGCATGAAAATTGTCCTGGTACAGAATGTCCTTTGGATGCACATTAACCGTATTTCGAACTTAAAATCGACAAAAACAAAGGCAAACTATGAACAAAGGAAAGATATACATGGAGACCATGGAGAATAAGACAAGGTATTCCGGAGGGTAAGCGTATTCTATGGCAAGCCAACTTAACATTTATTCAAGGAGCAATGTCGATCCTGTATTTCAAAAAAAATTATAAGATATCTTATACAGCATATGAGATATCTTATATACTATATAAGATATCTTATATCGTATATAAGATATCTCATATAGTATATGAGATATCTTATATAGTATATGAGATATCTTATATAGAAATTAAATGAGATGCTATATAAGATATCTTATATGATATATAAGATATCTTATATCGTATATAAGATATCTCATTTAATTTTCTATATAAGATATCTCATATAGCTATAAAAGATATCTTATATAGGAACGAGATTTTAACAAAATGTCGAAAATGAAGTCTCCCCGTCCGGAATATCTCGAGGATCTAGGCTTGTTGTAACAACACGTGTTCCTGTCGCCGCCATTATGTCTGAGCCAACTTTAAGAGTGCGGGAAATGGCAGCCTCTGCTTTGGCCGCTATAAGAGAGACAAGGCAAGCTAGGCCTAGGGAAAATACAGCAGATTCCATGATTCTCGAGGGAGAAATTGGTTTCTGGTTTTTAATGCCACGAAAGCTCATTCTATATCAGATATCTTATATAGCAGCGAGATTTCAATTATATAAGATATCTTATATAATATATGAGATATCTTATATATTATATGAGATATCTTATATATTATATGAGATATCTTATATAGGAAATTAAATGAGATATCATATATGCGATATAAGATATCTTATATGCGATATAAGATATCTTATATAGTATATATGATATCTTATATACTTATATAAGATATCTCATTTAATTTCTTCATGAGATATCTCATATAGTATATAAGATATCTTATATATATTATATAAGATATCTCATATAGTATATGAGATATATTATATCGTATATAAGATATCTTATATCGCATATAATATATCTTATATCGTATATAAGATATCTCATATGCTATATAAGATATCTCATATCGTATATAAGATATGTCATATATATATAAGATATCTCATATAGATATAAGATATCTTTTATTGTATATGAGATATCTTATACAATTATATAAGATATCTTATATGATTCGATGAAATACAGGATCGACATTGCTCCTTGAATAAATGTTAAGTTGGCTTGCCATAGTATTCTGCCTCATTGAAACGCCACCCGCCATGTAGATCAAATCCCTGAAGTGTTGTGTCCCCATTGTATAAATCAGGATAACATTTATATAGTGACAACAGATCAAAAAGACATAAAATTTCTTCTTCTTTTTCTTCTTCTTCTTCTTTTAATTAGTATTTTTTTTACGATGATCAATGAACCACTTCTTTCTGATTCCGGTTACCCTAGTGTTTTTTTTTTATTTATAGTTTTGGCCGATTGCATATTTGTACAGCTTGTGTATCAAGCGACAATGAGGTTCCTTATCAAATTGATGATAAGCAGCAACAATTCCTTCTCTTGCATCTAACATCCGAGCCCATGCATACTAAACTGATGTGGTTTCAAACTTATGGCGCAATGAACTGTTAACTGAGGCGATATGAAAAAAATGGGGCAAAACGGTTTGGGGCGAATCGTCTGTAATTCCTATGTGTGGGCAATTGCATCGATGACAATCAATAATATCTTTCTCACGCATGAAGTACCCATTAACAATCATATAACGGAAGAATTCTGAAGCGTTACATAGAATTAATCCTATCCCGGATACGCATACACCGAATTTGAATAGTGCATCCCTGATAGCGGGAATACTAACAAAAGAAAGTTCTATATGCCCGAGGCTTATCGAAAGTAGTAGGAAATGATCGCATAACGCCCCACTAACACTACACAATGACAAGTTATGAAATGCCTTTAAAAGTCTGAACTGGGAGATACGAACTCGTGAAGCATGGCTCTGAAGGAGAACATTAGTGTATGGCTTGATGGTGTGCAGGCATTTGAGAGTGAAGATTTTGCAGGTGCACGGGAAACGTTCCTATCCATTTCTGACCCGACTGCTAGGATTTTGTTCAACATCGCCCGTGTATCGAGTCTGAACGATTCCGTAAAGGTAAGTACTAACTACCTGATGTTTACACTAGTACTCCCGATGGTCTAGATGATCATGTACACATGTACAGGTGCTGGATACACACAAACCATAGGTGCTTGTATAGTCTTGTATGCTAAAATTAGCTAGAAATACCTATATACTTGTATAAAATTAGCTAGATAATTAGCTAGAAATACCTATATATATATCTATTTCTAGCTAATTTTATGATTTTATCATATAAGTCTATACAAGCCCCTGTGCACAAACAGTGAGTTATCTAAGTCCGTGCTTATATGATTAATATAGTTCATTTATCCTAATTAATGGCTCACACGGAACAGAGGTAAAACAAATAACAATTTAGTTTGGTATCGTACATCACAATACCAATAAATAATCGGGTTCTGGAAAATATAGCATTTAACGTTATCATTACATTGTGTATGATACACAATGGTAGAACAGGGTAAGAGACAAAGAATCATTCACCCCCTTGTGGGTGAGAAAGGTGAATCTCAACCCTCGGGGAAAGATTTTTCAGTTGCCAAACACTCGGCAAAGCCTCGTGTTTGGCAACTTAAGAATCTTCCCCCTCTGGTTGAGATTCTCCTATCTCACCCCCAAGTGGGTGAAAGGTTCTATTAGTCTCAGCATTGTTGTGTACAGGACAGGTAGGAACCTCATTACATACAGACAATTAATTAAGGCACTTTGAACTAGATACATTTCTCCTTTGGCTGAATATCAGAGGCCCATCTAAAGTGATATATATATTATATATGGATATTTATATTGCTGTATACACTCTGGTCAACCTGAAAGGGTGTTTGGCCATACTGCCACAGAACAATGAATGCAATATAAGGTCAGTATAGCAAAGCTACTGGTCATGTTATAGTGTTATAACCTATATAATATACTAAGGTCAATGTAGATATATGTGTCTTTCAAAACAAATTGTCAGCGGAAGATTGTAACAGCAGCTGTATATGTTTACAAATATGGATGATGATCTCAATGAACCATCCATTCACAATACTTAGTGTTACCTTGCATTGATTGTGAATTGGTCAGTGATAATATTTCACAGAACAATCAGCTAGGATAAGTTTTGTTCTGCAGCTTTGCATTTGGTATTAAATACAAGCAGATGATCAGTGTAGCTTAGTTATACCACAATCAGTGCTACTCAGTGATACCTTAATTCTAATAGAGTTATTTTACATCTGTGTTTAAAATGATACCATTACATACTATTTACCAATAGAAATACATGCATTCATGTGTAAAGCATATATTTTTATTGGTAAATAATATGTAAAAGTCATGCTTTACTATTCATCATACCTGTATCAATGATACCTTGCATTATTTTACATCTATGTTTGAAATGATAAAATTGGGATGCATATTTCAATCTGAGAATCCAAAATATTACCACTGTTTAAATGATTTGTGCTCTGCACGGTCAATATGTGTCTGATATCAAACATTGACTGTTGATCGGTATATTATATATCTAACATGCCTCATCATTTCCTGTGACATAAACTGGTTTACGTGACTAAATACACATACACCTCCCATTCATCTCCATCATACACAATCAGTTAGGGGTAACTATTGCAGCTAGAGCTGACAATAGGACCACTGGGAAAGTTTAACTGTTGTGGTCCACACTTTTGAAATAGTATTGCAACTGCATCAAATAAATGATAAAAAAATAAGCTATTTTTGATTATTTAACTTAAAATACAATTAATTCTTCTGTTAATGAAATCAAAAATATTTAATATCATTCAGTTTTTGCAATGTGAAGTTTTATTAATTATCATATTAATTATACGGTTATGTCACAAATATCAGCACTAAAATGCACATTCCCAATTATCAAACTCTAAAAGGAAAAAATGCATACTAGACAGTAATATATAAACTATTAAAAAAAACTATTAAAAAGCTTGAACCTACTTTAAACATTGATAAATTTATGTACCGTTGGCAATTTTTATTGTATTTATTTATTTTTGCTGTAAGTGCAGGACACTAAGTAAATTAATCAAAACCTATTAAAGTTCGGTTTAATTGTCCTCTTGGATTGGATGAAACCCTACAGACAACGCTGTAAACCAAACCTACGGATGCTCGCTTATACCTGCACTACAAATCCTGTCACCCTATGCGCCAAATTTGGAACAAACCCCCTGGCTAATTTATGACAGTGCGATGAATTTGCACTGCAGAGTTTGTTTGTCTTTCTAAATATGTTTATGTATCTATGAAACGGGAGAAGAACTGTATTTACTCTTCGCTATAATGTAGACTATTATAGTAGCTATGATTTGTGCATGACCTATATATTTACAACAATAGCACATATCTACTGTATTTAGAACGTATTTATTAAATAAATAGCCAACAATTCTATAAACAAGGATAGTCGTATTTATCATAATCACCACCATTTTTATTTATAATACATGCCTATTTTATAACTGTTAATCCATCTAACGTAAACCTTTGTTTTATGCATACCATTGTAACGCTCTCTCCGAGGATAGGAGGCGTCGTGTTTGTCTTGGGATGGAGTTGTGGTGCGATAGAGAACAGACACAAGTAATAATTAACGTTCACATATTTATTAACTCCAGCATGTAAAGTTCACAGTTATCCATACACAGTTCACAACACGTTCATTTATCTTCTGTAATCCATACACGGTTCACAACACGTTCATTTATCTCCCGTACTCAATACACGGTTCACAACACGTTCATTTAGCTCCCGTACTTCATACACGGTTCACAACACTTTCATTTATCTCCCGTACTCCATACCCGGTTCACAACACGTTAATTTATCTCCCGTAATCCATACACGGTTCACAACACGTTCATTTATCTCCCGGACTCCATACACGGTTCACAACACGTTCATGTATCTCCCGTACTCCATACACGGTTCACAACACTTTCATTTATCTCCCGTACTCCATACCCGGTTCACAACACGTTAATTTATCTCCCGTAATCCATACACGGTTCACAACACGTTCATTTATCTCCCGGACTCCATACACGGTTCACAACACGTTCATGTATCTCCCGTACTCCATACACGGTTCACAACACGTTAATTTATCTCCCGTACTCCATACACGGTTCACAATACGTTCATTTATCTCCCGTACTCCATACACGGTTCACACCACGTTCATTTATCTCCCGTACTCCATACACGGTTCACACCACGTTCATTTATCTCCCGTACTCCATACACGGTTCACAGCACGTTCATTTATCTCCCGTACTCCATACACGGTTCACAACACGTTCATTTATCTCCCGTACTTCATACACGGTTCACAACACTTTCATTTATCTCCCGTACTCCATACACAGTTCACAACTCGTTCATTTATCTCCCGTACTCCATACACAGTTCACAACACGTTCATTTATCTCCCGTACTCCATACGTTTCCTTAACAGTTCTCTCACACAACATCCACTTCAGTCTCCATTCTACAATATCACTAAAAACTCTAAAACTAGCTGAACTACACGTCTACTACTCCTACTAAAACGTAACTCTCTCCAATAGTAGTGCACGCTTTTCGTTATATATGACCCCCATATTTATAGGTGCTGAAATTAGCTTACGCGACCATTGGTCAACGTGGTGATGAGGTGATGCAGTGCAGGTGGACATTATTGATTTATTCTAAGCCTTGACCAGTACTTTAACAAGTTACCTAACTTATCCATGGCAGTACCTTGGCCTCTTCTATATTTAGCGCTTCCCAAATTAATATCAAAACTACTACTGTCCGTATCCTACGGGTCATTACACCTTACAGTATCGCCAATATAGTGACTTACACAACTATGCATACGTATACTCTATTATCACATCACCAATTTAGTTGTTAACACACGTATCGATGGCGTCACAATGTTATTGTTATTCAGATGATGTCTCGCCTCTGAGTTAAAACATGCATGCTGCTCCAATAATATCCGACGTTTAGAAGAGTTTTGCCGTGTTGTTCGCACTTTTTCCTTGATTTTTACTTTCACCAGTGTGAACTCAGTATACCTTCTTGGTATCCACGGTATAATCGATGAAGATATAGAAGATACATCACTTATCTAGGACGTTGTGTGTCCAACCCTCTTCTGTTCTACTCTTGGTTATAATCAACTTACACAAAAGTAAATTAAAACTCAACCCATGAGGTCCAGAACACATGCAAGACATGTTTGAATGAAAATAGGTTTGTTGATAATATCTTGTACATAATGAACACATTTAAGGAATAAATTGTTATGGATGGGATCAGTGAAATGCCACTCACCTAGCTTTGGTATATAAAGTGACAGAAAGAAAAATATGAACAGTTTGATTAAATCTTTTCATTGAATATTTGAAAATTCAAACATCTCTGGGAAGAATATTATGTCCCCCAAACAAAGTGGGGGGGATGTATTCTTTATCTCAAGAACGAACAAAGATGTAATGTTCATATTTCAGCACATGATAAAGGACGACAATCTCATGACACCCGAACAAAATCATAATCATAATGTCAAAGGTCAAGGTCACAGATTGAAATATGGAGTTTTTTAAAACCTTTTTTTGAACGACCATAACTTTAAAAGCTTTTGTTATACTGCATGAATGCTTTGTACTTGTAGATCTTTCAAATATCTGGAAAATGACACAATGAACAAAATGATGTATCCTTTTCCGTTCTCACTTTAATAGTGACCAAGTAATAGGAATTCTCCTGACAGGTGAATTTTTACCAATTCTGCTTTCAAACTACCAACAAAGGGAGGTAATCTGAAAAATGAAATTTGAATAGGTTTTCAGTTTTTATGAATAAAATTTCACTCATTTTAGGTAAAATATAAGGCTTTGAGATCATGAGACGTTTCTGTCTTGTTTGATGACGTCATAGTTACTGTGATGTCATAACTATGACGTCATCAATGGGCATCTTTGACATCATCAAGGCTCACTGATATCAAAATTAACACCAGGAAACCCATCACGACAACAAACTAGCAACAGACACACTTCCTGTAATCGATGAACAGCACCAAAATATCAGATATTTTGAAACATCAGACAAGTGACACCATATATATATAGCAACCATTGTTTACTTTCCTCACCTAGAATTGACAGTGACCCTCAGAAATTGTTCATTTAACATATATTTTACTAGAAGAAAATGTTTTCCTTCAGCTGTAATTATGGAAATAAAATTTATTGACATTATTGACTTTGCTTATTTAATCTGTAATACTGAATCAAGTGGAAAAAAACTATATGAAATAGTGTAATTAGAATGAAAACATATATTATACACATTTTCAATAAATACAACTTTATGTATTAGTAACCATGGATATTGGGAGCTGAACTGAGTGAAACAGACTGAAATCTAGTTTGAATGCATCAGGAAATAGCCTGTGAATTATTTGTTGTTTGACATCAACTTAAACAATTACACAATTAACACATATGTGATGAATTTTGAAGTGCGTGTGAAAAGGGCAAGTTACCCCCTTTAAACACCCCACAGGTGACCTACATGTATATATTGACCTATATATGTAACTTTAAAAAAAAGATTTTTGTAGTTTTAAGCAATAATGAATGAAAGTGAAGCTGAATCAAGCATAAAAAGGCTTTTTTTTTCTTCAGAAAAATCAAAATTCTATGTGTATAAGGTAGCAGAATACGGTACAAATGGTCTGATTCTAAAAATTAAGGGCATGTCTCAAAAACATGGATAGTGGATTCAACCTGCACAACACCTTTATATATATTTATAAACTACATTTTGAATACATTTTGTTTAGAAGACTGATTTTTTTTCAAAAACTTCTTTTCCACAGATTTGAGACTTGTGAAAACCATGGTTACCACATCAAATAATGTAAAAACACATGATTTTTAACCCAAAATTTGACCCCGCCAGGAAGTAGTAATGTTTTTCTTAAAACCTGTCTGAAATTAAATATTGCCTACTCGCTAACAGAAATACTCAGGTTTTAGCAAAGGTTATTCCGATGGATTTTTCACAATATTTACACATGTATACTGAGTAAAAAATAGACTACATGAAAAGCTATAGCTAGCTTTTGTTGTGTAGACACATATTTGTAAATGCCCAAAACTGTAGTCTCAAACCACATTTATTTACATTATGAAGCCCACATAGTCAACTTCATCATGTATGTGCCGATTTTAGTGCTAATTTTTTTTTTTTGAAACATGAAATATTACAGGGGTTATTCATTGTATAAAAATATCACCTATGGCCACTGTACGCTACTGTACACTGCTACCTCTGATTGGTCGCAATTTAGAAATTGTTCGATTTCACTCAAATTTCAAAAGTATGTACATTGTAGGTGTATTATGGCATTGCGATCCTTTTCTGATGCGTCTTTGCAACTATGGGGGGGGGGGGGGGGGGGGGGGGGGGGGGGGGGGGGGGGAGTTTGGGGGACTTCTGTTATGATCCCCCACATTAAAATTACTACTTGTTTTCATTGTTGCAGTATCTGACTGAAGCTATTGAAAAGGACCCCCATCTGGCCGTAGCCTACTACCAGCGAGGGCTGCACTACTTCACAAAGAAACAGTAAGTTTGTACAGGGTAGCATCGTATTACCGCACAGGGCTGCACTACTTCAAAAAGAAACAGTAAGTTTGTACGGGGTTGCATCGTATTACCGCACAGGGCTGTACTACTTCACAAAGAAACAGTAAGTGTGTACGGGGATGCATCGTATTACCGCACAGGGCTGCACTACTTCAAAAAGAAACAGTAAGTTTGTACGGGGTTGCATCGTATCAACGCACAGGGCTGCACTACTTCACAAAGAAACAGAAAATTTGTACAGGGTTGCATCGTATTACCGCACAGGGCTGCATTACTTCACAAAGAAGCAGTAAGTTTGTACGGGGTAGCATCGTTTTACAACACAGGGCTGCACTACTTCACAAAGAAACAGTAAGTGTGTACCGGGTTGCATCGTATTACCGCACAGGGCTGCACTACTTCACAAAGAAGCAGTAAGTTTGTACGGGGATGCATCGTATTACCGCACAGGGCTGCACTACTTCACAAAGAAGCAGTAAGTTTGTACGGGGTTGCATCGTATTACCACACAGGGCTGCACTACTTCACAAAGAAACAGTACGTTTGTACGGGGTTGCATCGTATAACCGCACAGGGCTGCACTACTTCACAAAGAAACAGAAAATTTGTACAGGGTTGCATCGTATTACCGCACAGGGCTGCATTACTTCACAAAGAAGCAGTAAGTTTGTACGGGGATGCATCGTATTACCGCACAGGGCTGCACTACTTCACAAAGAAACAGTAAGTTTGTACGGGGTTGCATCGTATCAACACACAGGGCTGCACTACTTCACAAAGAAACAGTAAATTTGTACAGGGTTGCATCGTATTACCGCACAGGGCTGCACTACTTCACAAAGAAGCAGTAAGTTTGTACGGGGTAGCATCGTTTTACAACACAGGGCTGCACTACTTCACAAAGAAACAGTAAGTTTGTACGGGGTAGCATCGTATTACCGCACAGGGCTGCACTACCTCACAAAGAAACAGTAAGTTTGTACAGGGGTGCATTGGATTACAACACAGGGCTGCACTACTTCACAAAGAAAAAGTAAGTTTGTACAGGGTTGCATCGTATTACAACACAGGGCTGCACTACTTCACAAAGAAACAGTAGGGTTTGTACAGGGTTGCATCGTATTACCGCACAGGGCTTCACTACTTCACAAAGAAGCAGTAAGTTTGTACAGGGTTGCATCGTATTACCGCACAGGGCTGCACTACTTCACAAAGAAGCAGTAAGTTTGTACAGGGTTGCACCGTATTACCGCACAGGGCTGCACTACTTCACAAAGAAGCAGTAAGTTTGTACAGGGTTGCATCGTATTACCACACAGGGCTGCACTACTTCACAAAGAAAAAGTAAGTTTGTACAGGGTTGCATCGTATTATCACACAGGGCTGCACTACTTCACAAAGAAACAGTAAGTTTGTATGGGGTTGCATCGTTTTATCACACAGGGCTGCACTACTTCACAAAGAAACAGTAAGTTTGTACGGGGTTGCATCGTATTACCACACAGGGCTGCACTACTTCACATAGAAACAGTAAGTTTGTACAGGGTTGCATCGTATTACCACACAGGGCTGCACTACCTCACAAAGAAACATTAAGTTTGTACAGGGTTGCATCGTATTACCACACAGGGCTGCACTACTTCACAAAGAAACAGTAAGTTTGTACAAGGTTGCATCGTATTACTATACAGGGCTGCACTACCTCACAAAGAAACAGTAAGTTTGTACAGGGTTGCATTGTATTACAACCCAGGGCTGCACTACTTCACAAAGAAACAGTAAGTTTGTACAAGGTTGCATCGTATTACCACACAGGGCTGCACTACCTCACAAAGAAACAGTAAGTTTGTACGGGGTTTGCATCGTATTACCACACAGGGCTGCACTACTTCACAAAGAAACGGTAAGTTTGTACAGGGTTGCATCATATTACCGCACAGGGCTGCACTACTTCACAAAGAAACAGTAAGTTTGTTCAGGGTAGCATCGTATTACCACACAGGGCTGCTCTACCTCACAAAGAAACAGGAAGTTTGTACACTATTCATCAGACGTGTATATAAGGATTTTCCTGATAAAGCCTGTTAAATCTGAACCCACATTTGTAATGCAACACCAAGAGAGGGAGAAAAACAGCTGGGTAGTTCAATGGCCTGTTTATGTATGTGCTAGTTACCAGGCATTTAAGACATGTAATATATTTACATTTATTTTTTTGTAATTTTCATTGGAATATTATAGGTATGATCGGGCCCTACAGGACTTTAATAAATCAGAGGAGAAGATGCATGGGCGACCAGTACTGGACTACAGTCAGCTGGGAATGGCATTCAAATTGCATTCTGCAGAGGTGTGTGTCTTCTGCAATTGTAACGAAATAGATTCTGCTTTGTCATAAATATAAGTCAATATTAAATATAGCAATAGGTATACATTCAGATTTGTTCATATTATATTGCTTGTTCTTGCTAAGGATTTAATTAATAGTTCATTGATATAACTCTGCTTTATTTAGTCATTATAAAAGTAATTTATTGAATTCACTCTCCTCACTTTTAACCTGACTTTACTGTCCAGGAAATTATCTTTTTAATGAGGAATGTCATTAATGAGAGCATAACTACAACTGCTATTTGCTGTGTATGAATATATAGCCTGAATACCACTGCTTCCATCGTGTGACTACGTAAGAATATTATTCAAACGTTCGCCAGCACTTAAATCAATACTAATTTAATAGTTCATTCATTTCAATTGTTATCTTTTTCTAAATATCAAATACAAATGATTCAGATGTGATAGCATTGTTTTACCTTTTAATTATCACCCCGCAACGAAAGTTCGAGGGGATATAGGATTCCGCCTGTACGTAGGTATGTTACACTCTTTGTCATCGCTCTGGCGATTTCATTCCTCAACGAAATTTCATGTAACTTCATACAAGTGTAAAGTATGACAATACCTTGAAAAAGTTTGCGTTTCTGGTTTCTACGTTTAAGGTCAAGGTCAAGGTCACTGTTTCCATTTTTTTTTTTTGTAATTGTTTATTTTTCGACGATTTTTTCATAATACATATAATCATGAAAAGAAGCACACACACACACACACATACCCAAACTTACAGAACATATATGCTAGCACGAGATAACTTGTTATACAACCATCATATTCTGCATATTTATTTATTAAAACATTTCCTCATTCTCCTACCCCTAGAGGATATGCGCTAAGAAGAATAAATTCAAACTTCCAAGCCTAGCATGGTATATGTATCACTGTTCACCAACACACACACTCATATCACAATATGTACATGATCATTTGAGCACTGATATATCTACATTGTGGACACTAATACATGTTACTGCACTGTATACATGTTCGATAGTTAAGCTATTTAATTGTACATACATGAATATGTACAATATATAAACACACATGCGTACACATGAGACTTGTATGCGGTCAGCTGTCTACATATATTGACACTCATATGCCTCATACCTAGCTGTATCTATATAATTCATCTTTTACACTCCCACACACACACACCATCCACCACACAACACACCATATCAAACTCTAAGACACCTATCCATTACACAGGTTAATACACACATCACTCTCTTCCTTTAGAACCATAAATAATAGTATACATCTGTTGTGTACATCAAACTATAAGAGTAAAATCAGTAGTATAAGTTTAGAGAGAGAGAGAGAGAGAGAGGAGAGAGAGGGAGAGAGAAAAGAGAGAGAAGAGAGAGAGAGATGAGAGAGATAGGGGAGGCAATCTTACATGTAAAACTTGTATATCCTTAAGTAGCCAGTGACTTAATCAGAAACTGCTGAGGCCTTGGATATATACCATATACAAAAAATAAATTAAAACACAGGAAAAATAAATTAACAAAACAGCTATATATCTATTATAGGTTTCCATTTTCTCCAACCTGTTTCAAATTTCATTTTGACATGCTCACTTTTACCGTTATTAATATAGTTTTGGACAATGAAATGATCTTTAATAACATTAATTAGTGCATTGAGATTTAAAGATTTGCAGAGACATCTAGTCTTGTATATATAATGCTTGATAAGAATTAAAATTTCATTATCAACAAAGCTGGAAAGGTGTGAAACTATTCCAAAAAGGAAGGATTCCTTATTAAATGAAAACGGGATAAAAAATAGATCCAGCAGAGTTTCAAATCTCTGCAGTAATTTCTGCACTTCTCGACATTCCCAAAGACAATGAATTATTGTTTCATGTTCTATATTACACAAAGTACATAACAGACTAGGGGTTTCCATTTTTAGAAAAACTTTGTCATCGCTCTACCGACTTCATTCCTCAAGAAAATTTCATGAAACTTTATACAAGTGTTTGGTATGGCAATGCCTTAAACAAGTTGATGTTTCGGGTTTCTATGTTGAAGGTCAAGGTCACTATAACTATTTTTAGAAAACAAATTGTCATCACTCTAGCGACTTCATTAACGAACAGAATTTTATGAAACTTCTTGCAAGTGTTTGGTATGGCAATATCTTGAACAAGTTCACGTTTCAGGTTACTGCATTAAAGGTCTAGGTCACTTTTACTATTTTTCCAAAAAAACTTTGTTGTCGCTCTAGCGACTTCATTTCCTCTTACATATGTCACAATGTGTGAATGCAAAGGGAATTTGTTTCACTTCTGATGGCTTGTTTTGTTCAGGAAAAGCAGCATGTGATGTCAGATGTTACTCTGTAGCTGTTCTAGTTATTGATAACAGCAGAAGAGTTTGACTTCTTGGGAAAAACATTAGTCTTGTTTGAAAATACAAGCAATGAACTGCAAAGATGCAGACCTACTGGTGGAACTCTCACATGTGTCACAGATAAACTTATCAGGTTGCACTTTCATGCACTATTCCATTTGTCTGTAACATGTGGCAGTCATACCAGAAGGTCTGTCACACCTATGCACTTTATTATTTAATTAAACAAAACAATGTTCGCATTTGGAACAAAACGTGCATGCAAGTGTTTAATTCACATCAGGACATTCATTTGAGACACAGGAAGAGCTATAACTAGCAACGTTAGAGATTTAGTTACAGTCAGTTTTATGTATTTACATTTACATATAAGCATAGCTACCGGTATACCTGTCATGTACGTAGCAGAGGAAGGGGTACAGCCAGCAACATTGGAGGTTGAGGTTAAAGCCAGTTTTTCCGTTACAGTTAACTATTACCAAGGCAGCTGTGTGGCAGAAGATAGGACATAGTAAGCAGGAAATTGAAGAAAGTGTAATAAAAGCAAGTCAGGAAGCTGAAGAGGATGCAATGAAAAGAAAATGTGCGAGTGCTCTTCAGAAACTTGAGGTACTTTTTTGCATAATATTCTGTCTGAGTGATAATCATTTTAAGAATAGATATCTATCTGTTGGGAGTGGGTTATCGGGTAAGAATCCCATTACAACTGTCAAAAACTACAATTACGGAGTAGAAACTGTTTTCCCGGCGTGAGTGTAGCATTGATAAATCATTTCTGAAAAGGAAACCATAACTTGTGGAACTTTTGTGAAAAAATATGTAAAAACGAAATGAACGAAATATTCCAGGGGGTCTGACAAGGATCGCAACCCTGGAGATTCCGTTCGTTATACTGTCACTCCAACCAAATGCGTTACATGGTCAACAGAAATACCCAGACCGAAACCCACCGAAGATATTCAAAATGAAACCAAGGGGAGGTTACTGTTTACATGCAAAAAAATTGATGTTGAATTCTCTAGTGTTTTGTCTGCATTGGGACAGGGGCCCTTAAAGCAATAAAATTGTACAGCCTGAAGGTCAAAGCTCAACGTCACAAAGGTCACTCAATGAATGTATGGCCAAACTTATTAGAATTGTTCACTAAGGCATACAAAAAGGAGATATGGATGTTACTGAGGTTGCAGTTCTAACAGTTTTTAAGTCAAGCTCACTTGCACAACTTGAAGTCAACATATGAATAGTCTATTCAAAAACTTGTTGACATAAAGAGGAAACATCTGTATGACTGATACTGCAGCCATCGAAGTTAGGCACGCAGTGTCCTCTCAATACCTGGAGTAGATACTGATGGGTTAGCTGTTATAGGAAGGTTAATAAGCCAGAGTAGTTGTTGATGGGTCAGCTGATATAGGAAGGTTAATAAGCCAGAGTAGTTGTTGATGGGGCAGCTGTTATAGGAAGGTTAATAAGCCAGAGTAGTTGTTGATGGGGCAGCTGTTATAGGAAGGGAAATAAGCATGAGTAGTTGTTGATGGGTCAGCTGTTATAGGAAGGTAAATAAGCCGGAGTAGTTGTTGATGGGTCAGCTGTTAAAGGAAGGTAAATAAGCATGAGTAGTTGTTGATGGGTCAGCTGTTATAGGAAGGTAAATAAGCATGAGAGCTGGTACAATTTCAAAAATAAACATGAAAATGATAACGTATTTTTCTGAAGGTAACATTTAGAATAAACTATTAACTTGAATGAGACTTTCAGAAAATATCTGTCCGAAATAATTGGGAGTGACAGTCTCTACACAATATACTGAGATACTTTTAACATATACCATAAAGTTTCTTTTTTCTCACCCGTAAATCTTCACTTTCCAGCATTCATGATAGCGTTACTCCACTTGGTTCCATTAATGCAGCTAAACATGTGTACCATAATGTTGTATTACTATATAGCTAGTATACTGACAGTTCAAAGATTTTCCTTTAACATGAATAACTTACAAATTCATTTATTTCCATCATACAAACAACTGGTCACTTGGTTGTTCCTGGTACTTCAAAGGGGATATTATAAGTTATAAAAGAAATAAGGTCCAATAAGTGATAGTAAATAAATAGCAGCTAAATCTATCGGTACACCAGTAAGTCTATACATGTGTCCTGAAGTGTTTCTGTTCTTGCTTGTCTTATGGCAGGGTCGTGGCAATGGTGGTCTGGACCCTGTACAAATACACAGTCATTGTATTTTCCATCCTCCAAAAAGTCTGACTAAAAATTTAAAGAAAAGAGAATATGTTGGCAAGGCAAAGGTATGTTATTTTACTTCGTTGAATGTTAATGTATGATTAAGGTTCTCCAGCTTATTAGTTGATAAGTGTCTTTTTGCTCAAAAGATATGATTTTTTTACATAGATGCAGATAAATCTTAATTTGAAAATCTGCAATTTTATCTCTGAATTAAGAATAACATGAAACCAAATTTGCTCTATTAAAATCATTTGAAGTAATCATTATCTGTTAAAATTATTGAAATTTTACTTATACATGTATACTCAATATTTTTTTTTTTTTTTTAAACAAACATTTTTAAGCATAATTTTGTTTGAAAGACTGGCATAAACTGCAAAAAGAATGCAGCTTCACAAACACATAAAGCAAAACATTGTTTGAAAGACCAGCATAAACTGCAAATATAATTATGTTTGATAGGCAGACATAACTGTACAGTCCTACATATAGCAAGCAACATACTAGGTAAAACACAGCAGACTAATATACAGTGGTGTTTGTGTACAGGTGGTGTCCGACTATCAGCAGAGGAGCAGAGAGAGTTCTCCTAATCCTGACGGGAGGCAACCTATCAGTCAACAGGCTGACCTTACCATTCCCCCTGACAGGCCGAGGAAGGCTCAAACATTGCCTGGAAGTATGGAACAGCCAGGACACAGCTCTGGGAGAGGATCCAACCAACTAGATATATCTTCTGATGGACAGAAAAAGTCTGCAACAATGGCAGGCACCACTGTAACGAAACGTTTGCCCCCTCCGCCTAACAGAGCAGCGCCTATATTGTCCATGAATCACACCGATTCAAAGTCAGCAGAGGACCTATCTTCAGACAAACATGCCAATTCTTTATTTGTGGAAAAGCAGAAAGCCAGAAGACACAGCCACGATGTTCCTAGGGAATTTGGCTCAGAATTGACAAAAGTTTTAGCAGGACAGCTAACGAAAGTGAAAGTAGGAGAAACTATAGATACTAACAATAGCAAAGTGAAAGAAGATCATTCCAGTGATAGAAATGGTAGTGTACCACCCCCTCGGCCCCCTCGACCCCCACGTCCACGTCCCCCAGAAATTGTGGTAGAATCTGAAAATGACATCCCTCCTCCTGTTCCTAGAAAAGATTATCCAAAACCACGATAATACAAATACTTATTTCTAGATTGTCTAGATTAAAAAGTAAGGATAAAGTATATACATTTTTGTATCATTGTTTTCATGGTGGTTAAAGCTTCATGTAATTGATTTTCCTGAAGATTGTACAGACAGGGAAGAAACCGAGTAGTAAATATGTTTATATGTTAATTTCCAGGTACATGTGTACTTTGTCACATAGGATGTCATTTGTTCCTGTGATCACCACAAATCTACAAAACTTCAGCATTATCAGTTACACGTTATAGTATTTTATCTTAAGAGTCCTGAAGTCGGATTGGTTGAGACAGAATTTTGGGCTCTTCAATGTATTAGAGAAGGCTTTTCTCAGTCTTGGCTTATCGGTACAATGTATCATGTTCTGAATGACAACGTTGTATATCTAGGCTTTACATTTTTGCTCCATTACTCTATACAATACAAGAAGTCCAACAGACCTCACATGTACACGTCACTGTGTATACATCTTGAGGAGTAGTACACCAGTAGATTGAATATAGGATACTGTGATCTATATTTTCCACTTCGCTGACTTCAGTTTTACTGTGCATTTAGCTCCATGTCTTTAGTTAGACTTCTTTTTTTGCTTTTTTCTATCTAGTGGGAGCAGGGACATATGTATGTTTAACAAACATTTCTAGGTCATAATGGGAACCTTTTAATAATTTAATAGCATTAGGTGACGGCTCGAAATACTTGTTGTTGTGAAGTCTACACAATTTTTGTTTACTTGGACGTCATATTTAACCCTTCACCCCTATGTAACTTGAGTAGACTCTACCATGCATTGATCTGGGTGAGTCCATTATGGTCTACAGTGGTGAAAGGGTTCCGAGGTGTGATATGCGTCTTGCTCACTACACAGGGTAATACATTTTTGACTTGGGCAAGTGCTTTAATTTAACACACCTTCTCTGGGCAAGCATGTACATTTGATCATTTAAATGATGTTTTTATTAATGTCCATTTCAACAAAAATAATTTACACAAAAAAACTTTCAGTTTTGGGTAAGTGCAATTTTGGTTCCCACTTGTTTTAACGCTTTTAAACCTTTCCTATACTTCCTATTTTGTCTATATCAATTGTCTAGTACACAAATATCCTGATGAGAGGAAAATGGGTTATGGAATGATGGATTAAATTTGAAATTTTGGTATTTAATTATGATTGACATTTTGTAAATTATATAAAATATTACAGTTATTTGAGTTTAGCTGCCTAGGGTCATCTTTTAATGGAATCATTGAATGTGGTATTTTAGTTATATCTTCCAAATGGCCAAATATTTTGCTCAGAATTATGATTTACAGAACTAATGTATCTTAAATTTGATGGATTTGTTTAAGAGTTTGACTGTTTAAGGTGCCCCTGATACATATCCAAGTGTTGAGATTGTATGTTGTTCTTTACTTCATCACTGATGTTTCTTGCTAATTTTATCTAATGAACAAGAGAGTGGTAGTAATATGTTAAGCATGTCTTGTTCTCTAGTTAAAGGGTTTTATCTATTAAAGTCTTTACAGGAAGAGAAAAGTTTCGTAGTTAAGAGATATACAAATAATTATGTACACATTTTGTTCATAAACATGTGCCTGATTAGGTACAAAGATAATTATACAAGGAAATGAGGGGATGTCATGGTGCTTTATGTCATAGCTTTACTGTTCAAGATGTCTCCAGAGAAAACAAGATGTGTTTTTAACATTCCATGACACTACATGAACAGTTCACATCTGTTAGTGGATATCATTTGTACTGATATATAATTATCACATAATGTACTGTGTTATCCAGTGAATATACCCATGTCATATGTTCTTTTGCATATTAACCCATGTAATATGACCTCTCAGCCCTGTGATTGGTTGTAAGTTTCAACTGTCTCAATTGTGACGTCACCGCTTGGTTAAGTACATGACGTCACAGACTTATACACTGGAGTCAAAATGGTGGCTTTTTACATTTCGAGGTTGCATGAAAATTGTTGTTTCACACGATTAATGCCTTAAATCTTGACCGTATTCATTTCATATGAATTTTATGAAACTCGTCACAAATTTTTCATTTAAGCTCGTCAGAGGCTCGCTAAATTGAAAAATTCTTAGACTCGTTTCATAAATACCATATGAAATGGAAACTCATGTACCGTGGTAAGATCCTATATTGATATAACTGTTATTCTACAATATATAGCACTACTTAGTACTATCTACAGTGTAGTGACATTGTGCAATGTTTTATCAGGATGGCAAGTCTTGGTGGTATATCCTAGGAAATCGGGGCCTCAGTGGACGAGTGGTTAACATATCTTACCATCGGCTATCACTTTAGCCCTCCACAACTGGGCTGTCGGTTTGAGTCACCAGGTGGGTGGTTTTCTTCAGGTACTCAGTTTTCCTCCACCACCAAAGCCTGACTTGTCCATAAAGAAATAGGCTATTTGGTCAAATTACACCCTTAAAATTGAATAATTACTTTTACTAACGAAAATTTACATAGTTGATAATGACATGACCTGAAGCCAATGTGTAGTATGGTCAATTTATTTTGAGAAAGCCTGTGATAAGTATAGCTACAACCAAAATAGTGCTTTCAGTGTAAAGTAAACATGTACACAGTAGTACTACACAGTGTCAGTTACGAGTCCGAGTTCACACATAACCCGCGGGTTTGAAACAGCAGGTCGGTGGTTTTCTTTAGGTTTACTGGTCTCCTCCACGACAATAGCTGTTAATAAGACGTAAACATAAATAAACCTAAACAATCATATTGAAACAAACACACAAGAATGTTAAGGGAAAATCCTGAAAATGTCGTTGAAATATTACTCAACCATCCACGTCTCCTTTTCTGTAGCTTCTAACTTTAAACAAGCAGAAATAAACAAAAAATGAATTATTTATTAAAAAAAGAATCATGAATCATACTGTTTTTCAGATACATGTATAAATGTATATCAAATATCCTAAATCTCTACGACACTAAATTGATATAGTTTCTTTATACTATATTTTTTTTATCAAGTTTTGTTTATTTTTGTTTTAAATTGTATAAATTTATAGTGTACATGATTTCTAAATATTGCCTTTATACATGTAGATACTTTAATTTACATCATTTTGATGAAATTATTTTATTATGCTTAATATGATATTAACATAGAGTGACACCTGTCTGTTCCGATCTCTCGCTGCTCCCTCACATTGTCACTTACGGGGAATTATAAAATTTGATTGAATGTACCAGTTGTTTGCATGAACTTCAAGTTATGTTTCTTATTTTTTGTCCAGTTGGACTGCCTATTATTTCATGTGTACAAACACTGTTTATTATGGTAATTTGTATTTAATGTATTCCAATGTTGTCTTGCTGTATCTAAAACGACTCAAGACAAGGCTTTGTAAGGAAAACTCAATACACCGAGTTTCCACACCGTCATAATATGACCAAAAGGTTTATGTACTGTTAAGTTGGATTAGTTAGATTCTATTGAATATATTTAACATAACTTTGTTGATATTTATGATTTGTTGTGTTTTATATGTAAATATTACTGAACTGTAAACACTGAAATGAACCTCCATTAACTTTGTCCGACCAGAGCTAAAAAAATTGAACAAGGCATTTGATGTATTGTGCCAACTTGATAAAATCTGTAACTGTGTATTATACAGAGAATTAATACATTTATATTGTATCACCTTTGATGCCAGGTAACCCTGGCCTCAGTGATACTAGAAAATGTTTCAGAGATACTGCAAAATGTTCATTGATCACATAAAACATTCCAATGATCACATAAAACATTCCAATGATCATGTTAAACATTCCAATGATCAGGTAAAACATTTCAATGATCATGTAAAGCATTCCAATGATCATGTAAACATTCTAATGATCATGTTCCAATGAAACTAGTTTCAACTAGTCACAATTGAAAAACAGTTGAACGATATAGGTCCTTTGGACCTCTTGATGCTGCCTTATTTTGTGGAAAAAACGTAGCATAATTCTTTTATATACTACTAACAATATGTTAAGCCGAATGTGATATCATTTTCATGAGGAATAAAACTTCTCAAGCTGATCTTGTAGTTTTCTTCGCTGTCATTACTGTGCATGTATTGCGTACGGATATTTAAGCAGATCGAGTCATGGTCGTTAGTGAGATGCCGGGCTCGGTCAGATATTTAAGCAATACTAAATTTGGGGGTAATCACTTTACCTATCAGTTTAAACTTAAAAACTGTAGGGTTTTAATGGAATCGCAAACTTTAACATGTAAAGAATTTGCTGTTCTCACATTTTGGCCAATCATTTTCGACCCCCATTTGAGTAATGCTATAAAAGAAATTATTACCGCCACAATGAATTGAGGGAGGTCTACTGGAAAATAAGCATGTCCGTCCCCCGAATTGTGAATAAACGTCTGACCCAACAAATTCTTGACTACCGAGCCAAGTTTTGCACTTTTCTTACAGTTATTGCATTTTTTTAGGGATATTTACTTCATGTCGAATGGAGAAATTTAATTTTAGGGATTCAAAATGGCCCGTGCTTGCCTAATACAATTACAGAAGCAAAAAACACAAGTTCTATGGAACCGATAAACTACCAGATTCAAGATGGTCACTATGGCCTTTGAAATGTGATCATGTCAAACATTCAAATGATCATGTAAAGCATTCTAATGATCATGTAAACATTCTAATGATCATGATCATGTTCCAATGAAACTAGTTTCAACTAGTCACAATTGAAAAACAGTTGAATGATATATGATTGGCCAACCTTGTTGATACTTTCCGGTAGTTTTAAATTTTAGTATTCAAGATGGCAGCTATATGACCCCTGATTGACTGACACAATCACTGTTATAATTTGTGTAGGGAGCCGATCGACGCAATCGCAACTTCTCGGCCAATCCCGCGCCTAGCCGGAATTGGCCGAGAAGTTCTGCAATGACGTAAATTCAGGTCGGTAAACACGATCGACGTGATCACCTTGAAGTAGACTCCTTGATATATTTGAAAGTCTGATTAGAAAGATATCATAATAAGAGAACGAATTGTGTTCTTTCGGTTTGATACCAGACAATGGTAGTGTTTTTAGCTATGAAAGTCAAAAGTTCTTACAGAAAAAATAACATTTAAAACCTGTATCTTTGTGAAAATTGCTTGGCGATACTTTCAGAAAGAGTAACCGTTTTGAGAACGGCTCGGCGTTGCCTTTGGTAAGTACAGACTTTTCTAAAGAAATCAGCCGCACACCTCGATCTTTTCCTGTAACGTGACTAACAAATACAGCTTAATTCCTCTCTCTCTTTTGTAATCGCAAAAAGTATCAAAAGCTGACAAACAAACTCAAGTCACAGGTATTTATGTATAAAACAATCAGAGGCCAATACAGTCATCTTGAATCCCACAACTTGAAAGTCAGTTGTATCATATTTTTGAAAGTCATTCCTGTTCATGAGAACTGTGTAAATCGATGTCATAACCAAAAGAACGTCATGTTCTGAAAGAGAAAACCAGGCTATAGTGACACAAAAATACAGGGAATACCGGTGGACTTTATCGAAAACGTAGTATTCATATCTTTTAAGGAAATAGAATATTTCTAATGGGATAATCATGCCGACCATAAAACTTGTCTGCATTCTTGATCAGATTGATGTAGCTCTCTAAATTCTGTGTTGCAAGTTTGTTTGTACGCGTTCGATTATATGGAAATTGTACAATCGGAGAAAAATCAAGAATGTCCAATACATTGTCACATGTAATTACTAAAAGCACGGAATTAGATTAGATATCTAAGTCCGTGTTAAAAGTCATCACCTTGATGAATTTGAACGTGAAATTGAAGTCTCTGATTAGAAAGTTCTCATAATAAGTGAACGAAATGTGTTCTTTCAGTTTGGTGTCAGAGAATGGTAGTGTTTAAGTATTTAATTCAAAAGTTCTGAAAGAATAAGAAAAAATGTATCTTTGTGAAAATTGCTTGGCGTTACCTTCAGAAAGAGTTATTGTTATGAGAGCGGCTCGATGTTACCTTTGGAAAATACAGACTTTTCTTCCTGTAACGTGACTAACATAGACAGCTTCCTATTAATCTGCAAGATATGGATGATGATTTCGATTTTCCGCTCAGGAACTTCCCTTTCTTGATGGTAACATCCCTGCTCCCAAAACTGGAGAGTTTACATGTCGCAACGAATATAGTATTCGAGAGTTTACTTCGAATGCTGACAGATAAGCTTATAATACGATGATTCGATAAATACATGTTGGTGAGTGCCATGAGCAAGTCGTATGGAAGCAATCATGATCGCGTTGGGAAATAGGTTACGTTCTTGTGTGACTCACAACCCCACTTCTCCCTGCTTAAGGACATGACATTATTTGGATTTGACCTAGATTAATAAGGCGGGTTTTGCAGATACACTTTCCCTTACGAAACGTCTTTTCTTATTCTTCATGAACTTTTTCAAAAAAATCTTTTCTTAGTTTATGTTTGCCATAGTTGTATCCAGAGTCTCAACTACATTTTATATTGGCACTTTGGTATCTTTTTATGTATTATCTTCAAAAAGTAAACACAAAATTACCTAAACAGATAAGCGTGTTTTGGTTTACAAGATCTCATCTTTGACGCCCGAGTCTAAAAAAGTGAATGTTCAAAGGTGTAAATTACTATATTCTTATGAATATTGTCTACGTTAAAAGTTAGGAAATATATTGATTAATCAATTATCGGTATTTGAATGAATGAGGACTCCGGTGTAGACCGATACTCCTATGCTATTGACAATAGAAATGATGAATATATTGTAGTTGGCTAAATATTACCCTGTCGAGAAGAAAAAAGTAGAGAATGATATTACCTGTATCATCGATATCTTTGTTTAACTGTGGGTGGAGGAGTTTAGTCAACGCAGTGCTCCATCGAGGACAACTCGCACACTTTTCTTGTCGTTACGTTTTGCATTGTCACGACGTTGAATGCATACATGGGCTGTTGAAGAAAGGAAATAAGAATCTTTCACTTTCCCTGAATTTTACATTCAAATACATTGACGATGGTTTGTCTATATATAACAAAAAGAAATCGAGGAGCGTTTCACTTTCTGTCAAGAACTTGAAATTGAAGACCAGACTCTCCTGCTTCAGATTAAAATATATGTCATTATGTATTGATTTTAGTTTGATAGCTTGCATAATCGTGTCATGTTTCCACGGAGTCTGCAATCCAATGCTCTTCCTTTAACATTTTCCAGCGTCCCTGTACTTTGTTTATACTGGGGTTCCAACACTTACTGTGTACATGTATCTATAATGCATGTGATATATATTACTGCTGCATTAATATGGTTGTAGTGCATTTTTCCCCTGTCTATACGTTCAACGCTTGTTTCATTTTGCAAACGTTCGTATTATCTCAGAAGAGGAATACATCGCTTGTAAATGAAGAATAGCGATACTTTTCTTCGGGTCTCGAATTGTGACTTTTGACTTGAATTGTGACTTTTGCAATGACTTGTTAGATCCATAATTCATAATTGCTGCACCCTGACTCCGATATGCTTGAATAATCCATAAGTTCTCATTTCCCCTCTACAGTCGTATTTGTGGTGATGTCATGGTGCAAGCTTTTATAACCCCCAGCTACTGTAGACGGTATGGATATTTCCTGCCAGTCTAGAACTGCTGTCCAATCCAGTATTACTTTTAATAGTTGTAATGTAGTAGATCTGCCTTTCACAAATCTAAATTAGTTTACGTAGTAGTTCATTGTTTTCCGTGAAATAATAGTAATGATAATAATAATTCGAGGTTCTTATATACAGCTTTATCACAACCTAGTTCGTAGGTCGTCTCAAAGCGGTTCGCAAATTAATTATTATCCGTGGTTATAGGGCCTTTGCAACCAGGCAATATCTTTCTCAATTCGAATTCCCTGGGGAGCATACAGCCGGCGCTGCCATTTCGGCACTCACAGCTAGAATTCTACAATTCTACAATTCTAGCACTGCCCAACCACGTACTTATTTACAGTTGAGTAGACTCGAACAAGCGGAGTAAAGTATCTTGCCCAAAGATACAACACAGTGCCGTGCCGTGACTCGAACCCGCAACCCTTCGGTCACGAGCCCGGCGTCCTACCACTAGGACTACAGTGCCTCCATAATCCGTGTGAGCCATGGTCTTCTTTCTTATTATTCTCTCTATAGTTTTACGAACGAATTGCTCTGGTTAGTCTGACTGGTCGCTGTTCCAGTTTTTTCTCCTCTGTATATTGCTTTGTAAGATCCGTCTCTCCATCATTGTGGCAGAGGTTTACCTCTCCCACATTACATATGAGTTTGCTGTTTATACTTATGGTATATGGTAATTTAGAGGAGACCAACTCTTGTAGCATATACCTTACTTCTTTTGTTATTGTTACGTATTGGAATGTATGTTGTATGGTTTATTTCTGATCCCGAAGTTTCCTATCAGTTGGTTTTTAACAAAACATTGCTGAGTAAATCCTATATAGTACGTTTGCATTGCCTTTTCGCCTCTCTGTCCTCACTCTTATGATGAAGTTTTTATATATTCTACTTTGTTTTTGTTATCGAGCTTGCGTCATATCTACAACTTCTTTGGATCTTTCTTAGCATCCTCGTGGATTCCTAATGAATCGTTTGTCTTTTGTCTTGTTCTGATGTATTCTGTATAAATATTTCCATGTTATTTTTCAGATAGTTCTCCAGTGTTTTATGTCATTTTGAAATGCCCTAGCTGTTTATAAATCTAGTGGATGCCTATTCTGTTGACATTCTCATTTTTGGTACACGAGTGTCTCTACGAACTTGTTATATTTAGTCTCTATAGTTATCTGTGATACCCTAGCTGTTATACATGTTATCACGGAATTAGATTAGTTATCTTAAGTCCATGATGTGATATAGTTTTATTGTCTTGCCGCCACAAAGTGGAAGCGAGACATAGGTGTTGCTTTCCGGCGACGACGGCGTCAGCATTAAGTTTTTGTTTTTAAGTTAGTTTCTCTGAATGTATAAGTGCTACACCAACCAAACTTGGACCATTGATGTATTTTAGGTGGTACATCTCAGCCATGCATCAAATGCTGAATGCGGCCTACCTTTGATGGTTCATTGACTTTGTCAGCAACTCAATCAGCATTAAGTGTTTGCGTTTAAGTTGGTTTCTCTGAATATCTAAGTGCTATACCTACCAAACTTTGACCATCAATGTATTTTAGGTGGAACATCTCAGCCCATGCATCAAATGCTGGATGAAGCCTACCTTTTATGGTCCATTGACTTTGTCAGCATCTCCATCAACAGTAAGTTTTTGCATTTAAGTTAGTTTCTTTGATATGACCATTGGTGGTCAAAGCAGGGCATAGGCGTTTGTCGCATTTGTAGATCACTAGACCTTACGTTTATTATTTACATTTAAGTGACATCAAATAAAGTTTATTGTATCTTTTATTATTTTTTAGAAAGACATTAATTGAGATCTGAGTGTCACTGGTGTAACTTCAGAAACATTCAGAGACCCTCAAATGATGAACACACATCTTTTTCAGACTTGTGAATTCAGCGTTTCTTCCAGAAAATGAATAAAAGTCGAGGAAGTCTACTTTTTTACCTTTCGTTTTTCTGATTCCACGACTTTATGTACCTTTTTTCTGTATTTCCTTTGAATTGTAGCATCCATTATACCGTTTGGCCATGTTATTGTGTTGACAAGTAAATGTAAGCCAAATTAACATATTGAAATGAATATTATTATAAAAGAAAACATCCAAAAGCTCACTCTCCTCAGTTCTGACAGATATGTACGATAGGGTTGGTAAGATCATATACATAAAAAGATCAAAATACTATGTGATATTATGTCTATTTTACTTGAATAAATTAAACATAACTTGCATCGGTGAGACTTTAATTGTAATATGCTGTTTCCATAGTTTTAATTTTCTAATTTTATGTCATTGACTGTCTCCCCCTGCTAGCATGTATTCTAACCTTAACATGGATAGCTGTGTAAATGTAGAGGCACAACACGACGTATGGCATTCCACACAGTGGATGCATATGAATAATTTATGCCGTGCTACCTGAATTGAAGTCTGCTAATTGTAATTGCTATCGGAGTAACGTCCCTTCACGGATGTAAGGATCAGTGCATACTGGTTGTCAGGTCAAAACAAAAGAGCGTCACAATGGAGAACGGATTGTAAGTCAGATCTCCAGTTTATGTATGTGTGTCATGGGTTAATTGCAGCGGCAGAATGAAGTTTCAAATTACGTAATCATGACAATCTTCAGTAAGAAATGGTTTCGCCGTATGACAATGGCTAATTTAGTTCTAGTAATTATATATAATTAGTTTCGTTTATTAGCAGGTGCCCGTTTTCCAAACAGATAAATTATTGACATTTTCTATACCGACTATTTTACTGTGCTAAGATGACATCTCATTCAAGAGATTACAATGCGCGGTCTTTAGACTTTGGGAGTCTCAAAAAGCCAGAACCTTTACATTTCAAAATGACGGATTTTCGTCGTGATCTACACATCCGGAGTAAACGGGAGCAGCACGCGCGGAAAGAGAGGCTGAGGTCCTTCACTGAGGCCAAGCACCTGTCAAAAAACGCTGTCACAATCGACACGTCTCGGGGCAGGTCCAACATCGAGGTCGTCAGGATGTGTATAAAGGAACTCGGATTCAGAGAGGTAATGGACAATTACATCATTTGTACATATTGTGTATGAAAGTCTCTTGCATGTGTGTATGTGTAATATTTTTTAAAAAGTGTTGACAGGTTTGTGGTGTTCAATTTTCAGTATCTGCAGCGCTGTTTGCAGGGTTCAAATTTTTACAGAATGTGTATACCAGGTTGATCTGTTGCATTTTTTACCATCCTGTTACAAATGGTAACAGGTTGTTTCGCCCCAAATCCCGTTCGACCTAAGGGTTGTTTCGCCCCAGGTTGTTTCGCCCTAAAAAAATAATCTTTAAGTCATAAATATCATGTTAAAAGTTAAAAAAACTTATAATTTTTTGAATCCCAAATAATATACGTATAATTACGTTCGTCTAACAACGGAGTCGCACAAAATGCATAAATCACATCCCTGATTATAACACTATTTATGACAAGTTACCTACTCAAAATTATCTAATCAGATATGCATATTAACTTTTATTAGTCGGTACTATCAAAACTTCTCAAAATGATCTCCTCCAATTAGCAAAAAACAACACAGACGTGCGCCGAAATCAAGTAAAGAAAACATCGTGACACAGCGACGATTATGTTTACACTAGACTAAATGTGTTAACATGGAAAAATAATATTGTTGTATACCCCGCAATGTAATTAAAATTACACCATTTTTGTTTCATTTCACTATTCTTATTTATTTCTAAAATTAAATTCAATATATGTTATAATGTGTGTCGGCGTGAAGAAAATAACGTAATCAGTTTTTTGCTTTACAATGTTTTTAAAAACAACACAAACACATTTTATTTTTTTAAACGGAATTTAATGATATGAAAGACTAAGAAGACTTAATTTAATTATGACCTAAAACAAATGAAAATTAAAAGAAAATACCAAACAATGTTTTCGCCCTAAAAAAAAAGTTTTAGGGCGAAACAACCTAGGGCGAACGGGATTTGGGGCGAAACAAACCCGGAACTGTTACAAATTGGTGTGTTGACTAACCCTTGTTACAAACTGTAATCTCTTGATGAGGGGGTTATGAATCTTGGCCATGGTTGTTAATAGTGTTATCTTCACAGATGCCAAAAAATGGGTTTGGGATGGTGCAGCTTAGGGTCTGAAAAAAAATGGGTTGATTGCCAGTTACCATATAGCTCAGTTAGTTAGCACATCTGTCTACCTTGAGGAAAATTCTGTTGTGACCATATAGCCTGAGTTTCCTCTGGCCCTGACACCAGACATTTTGACAGATAAATGTCTGGTGTACATTATTTATTTATGTCAATAACAAAGTATTAATTTCACTTGTAAAATTTCTACAATTTGATTATAACTGAGCGAATTAACAACACTGTCCATTATAACACCATAATGCGTATGTAAATTGTTGTATATATGTGTATGTAAATTATCTACACTGTAACCAGTTTGCGAGAATAAAAACTTTGTCATTGTCAAAATGTGTAAGTCTCGTGTCAGGGCCAGAGGAAACTTGGGCTAGAGTAACCCTTTCATTTGAAACTTTTTACATTTTTCCAATGTGTCAGGTTAGATTTAGGTAATCTTTGTATTTAATTAGTATTGAAAGGTCAGAAACGCTGCTAGATTCCACCTACATAGAATGTTCATTTTAATTCATACCTTAAACAAGATATCTTTGTTTATGTAATATTTGCATTAATAAAAACATTTAAATGCAGAAAGCCTTATTTTGATCATGTTAGTTGAGATTTAACCCTCAAAAGAAAAACTGCTATGGGTCACATTTGTGAATTTAAGCAACAATATCTTGTTTTAATGCTTTCAAATAGTGATAAATTAAGAGGACGTTGATATATTTGTGAGTAGGATGTCTGAGGGGGCTAAAATAGAGGGCAACCTTGATGGAACAGGAAGTATTCTAGTTACAGTGTAACTCCAAGTACAAATGGACTGTTTTCATATCTACTGCGGAGTACTATTTTTAAGTTGATTTACCCGACAGGTCTAATGGTATATATTGAAGTTCAATGATACCACAGCTGTCCACAGCTTTGTTATGTTACTGTTCCCAAGTTCAATTTTATTAAAACGCTTATGTACCCAGACCAGTCATTATCCTTGCTTATTTCAATCATAGTTTTGTTTTTGTTTCAACTTATTCTGACGTTTTTGTTGACATAAGAGATTATTGGCACCGACAGGGATTGCCAGTTATTTAAGCTAGCTAACATCGACCAATATTCCAACAATACTTTGTGTATTGGTGTCACTTGAAATGTGTGTATATTTAAACCATTGTGACAAAGTCATTGTTGTGGAATTGAGTGAGGTACGTTAGTCACACAAAGGGTGATTGGCAGATTTGTTTTTGTGTGCCAATATTAATGTTGGTACGGTCCATTAGGTACGTACACATGACGTTACCTACAAACGGGATAATACAGTACGGCTGGTACATAACAAATCCATTTTAGCTGTACAAGGCTCTTGAAGTGCTTGAAGTAATCACACGATTCTATATTTCTTGATTATAGGTAACTGATCATGGGCTCCAAATAATTGTCCCACATGTAATCTGTACTTTCAGCTTAATATAATATATTAAATTGAGGTATGAGCTATGAAGCTACAGGTAGTCTGAAAATAACATTTAACCATTTAAAGCAGATGTAATTCTCCAAAGAAGTGTTAATGTGTCATTAGATAAGGATATTCATGAATAAAAAAAAATGAATAGATTACTCAAAGAAGCCTATTAGTATGTACTTGACAAAAAAGTAAAATATTTGTGAAAATGAGAAAAAGTAATACTTGTGTAATTATTTGTAACTTTCCCCCCCCAAAAAAGCAAAAAATGCCAGGGGTATTCGTTACATTCAGCAAGGCAAACAGCTGTGACTGGAAGATATATATGTATATTCATTATTGAGGATACTGAAAATTTTAAATGTTCTTTAAAATGATTTATTCTAAAAATAAAGATTCTCCATTTTTAAAATCTGCCTATGGACAAATATATATTCATTTGCTGCCTCCAGGTGATATTTAATAACATGAAATGCATATTGTATTTTTAGTTGTATTAATATTTTCTCTTTTTAAGGTAAATTCTGAACATATTCAAGAATCAAAATATTTGCCTGTTCAGGCATTGTGTTACAATGTTTGTTCTCAAGGGTTTTTTTGGTAAACGATTGCCAGGCCTCTTATAATATTTGGATTGCATTTTCTTTCCATCTTTGGTCCAGCAAAATGCAAGTTGTGAATCTTGACTATAAATTAGAATGAGCATAATTGTTGCAGTGTATTTATATATATTGTGATTGTACCATGATAAATGGACTGTATAATCTGTTCTCTCAGTTGTTAAGAGATTTCTAAAGATTTTAAATAAATGCAATCTAAAGATTTTAAATAAATGCAATATCTATTTGAAGAAGAACAACTTGATATTTGCTATTTGTGTTAAAGGTGCTAATGACATCAGCAGGAATGAACTTGAATGCACAATTTAACATATGGTTATATAGAATCCATGGATTGAGCACATGTTTTGACAACATCATTAATGTTCTGCATAGCAAGTCATTTTGACTTAATTGGAGCCAGTGTGTAACTCTTGGACTCAGGTCACACATCACCTGTGGTCATTAAGTTTGAAGGTACCAAGTTGAGAAGACAGGTTTATATATAAGCAGTTTGCTTGCTTCCAAATTCTTTTTGTTATATGACATCTTATAAAGTACAATGTGGTTGAAATAATTTCTGACAACATTGAAATGAGAGCCTGAACGTAATAAAAGTTTACGGTGCCGTGTGATGTTCGTGTTTCCACCAAGGCTATATAATCAGTATAAAACATACATATTATAGCCACAAGTTTTGACAGTTCAGAGATGTGTGTTTGTATTTGTTTGACAAGAGTTTGAGCGTGATGTTTTGGTTTTCACAGATGACTTATGTCAATATTACTACATATAAGATCACAAGTTTTGACAAGACCATAAAAGATTCCGGGAGTTGTTGGAGGTGTTTGTGTTTATGAAGGCCATATATCACCATAGGTTATAACAATTGACAACAGTGTTTTTCCTAGGTGTATTGGGAATTTTACATTTATTGAATTAGGGAAAAAGCTGTTACTTGACCTGTCCAGAACGTAATATTATCACAAAAAATAACTTTCTACTAATAGGGAATTTGCTTTAACAGGGGAAAAGAAGTACAACAGTATGGAATCCCATCTGTAGGAAGAATTCAGAGAGATTTGGGGCTTTAGTTAAGTCACTGAGGTTATATCAGTCTGAAGTCACAATGAATTTGACTGCTAGTCCAAATGGAAGTATTAGAGATATGTATCTAATTTTCTGTTAAATTAATTTTGGTGTGGATGTATAACGAGTATATTATAAAACTAACCCCTGGTTTTCTGTTTGAACAGTGTCCCCATGCCTTGATAAATGAGAACTGTGTATTATTCTATAGAACAGTTTATGTATAGATAACAGAGCCAGGGAACCAATAAAGTTTCAGAATCTGTTACCTGAGTTTGTGTACAGTATAAACCTTTAGAATTGATTGTCTGGTTACAATTGTACAAACTGTACCTATATCGTTCTCCGAGGTGGCCATCCACATGTTATCTTCTGTAGACACTGTGTAAATACAATGTCAACAGAAGACGACTTTACGAGGAAGTAATTGTCGACTAGATACTGTGAGTTATGGTACCTTTCTACCATTCCTAACCTTGGATAAACAGCTGGCAACGTGATACAATTAATTATCTGAGTTTTTAAGTGGTCTAATCTGTCACACATTGGTCCAAGTATAATATATTTAAATATACTCTATACAGAAGAGTTTGTGATTCCGGATAACAAAATTTTTACAATAGCCTCCAATTTTTTTTAAAAATCTTTCAGATAAGGTTTTGGTTTAAATTGCACAAATTTATACTTATACATAAATATATATATATTTACACACAAATCATTTGTTTTACATTGTTTAAAAAGTTATTTATTTGAGTTTAAATACTAATACAGTGTCATGGGCGGATTGGTCGAGTGGTTAACGGGGCGTTCGATCCCCGAAGTCGCCGTACGCATGGAATATTAGAGAAAGTGTTTTTCTCCTGCCCACACAACTCCCAACAACCCAGGTGGAGTATAAAATGGTCTGGGGTGGGTGTTGCGGTATCTGTGCTGTAGCATTCAAGTGTGGTGGCACTATAAATGATACCGTTGGAAGCACGGTCCCACTACAAACAGAACACAATACATCTCCAGCACACACACAGGCATACACACATAGGGAGATATTAGCCAGGTGGCATAGGACTAGTAGTTAGCGCCATATAAGGCAGCTCCTGCGAATTCCTCAATATTGTATTGATTAATATATATATGCTAATTGTATTGACTGTATAAAATTGTATATCTATGTACTGTTAAGCGCTTTAGTGTGGCTTATGTTAGCTAGATAGGGCGCTATATCAAATGTTGTATATTATTATTATTATTACTACATCCCAATGCCATATTGTGATGAATACTTTCTAGGATATCCATGAACACTGATAGATAAGTAACTATGTAGATTAGGTAGTTCAAGGTAAGATAATTCTTTACTGATTTACAGTCTTTACAGACTGATGTTGACATTAGAATTGTTTGTAGTCATTTGTTGTAAACAAGACTTATGTTGACATTATATTGAGTCTAGTCATCTGATGTAAACAAGACCGATGTTGACATTAAATTAAGTCTAGTCCATCTGATGTAAACAAGACTGATGTTGACATTAAATTGAGTCTAGTCATTTGTTGTAAACATGACTGATGTTGTCATTAAATTGAGCATAGTCATATGATGTAAACAAGACTGATGTTGACATTAAATTGAGTCTAGTCATTTGTTGTAAACAAGACTGATGTTGTCATTAAATTGAGTATAGTCATATGATGTAAACAAGACTGATGTTGACATGAAAATTCTGTCTATTAACATGATGTACATAACCAGAATGATGTTGAGGTTTGAACTGTATCTAGTATCCTGATGTAGATTTTATCTAATGTTGTTTATCTTTCTGTTTCTAGTTTCCGTTTGGTCGCCGTGAGAGTTTGACATGTGACATACACTGGCATGCCTGTAACTTTGACGAGAATCCAGACGTCTACAATGGGGCTGTCAACAAATTTCCAGGTGAACCAGTTTTGTACTCAGAACCACACAAAACAAATGATAATTTTTGGAATACTATAGCTCTTTTGTTTAATTATTGTTAAATTCATTGGATATATATGACAGTTTTAATTCAGAGAGAAACGATAATAACTTATAGCTAATGCTTCATAATGACAGGAATTCATGTTAATATATCATTAGGCGTCACAGTTGTGAAAAGATTCATGTAGCACAACCAGTAAGTGTTTATATGTGACGTTTCCGTGACTAGTACGGTATGTACTCTGACACATTAGTGTCAGGCTGTTAAACTAGCCTGTCTTAAAATGTTTGTAGTGGACATTATACTTAAATCTATAGGTATATAATTCACTGTGTAAAATGTGCTACAAAGGCAATAGTAGAGACACTCTCTTTATTCTAAAAATATTTTCTGTTTGTCTAGGAATGGGGGATATTTGCAGCAAAATGTCCCTGTTCCGAAGCCTGGACACGATGAAGGAAATTTTCCCCAATGAATATGACTTTTACCCACGTACATGGTACCTGCCTGCTCAGTACATGGAGTTTTCTGCAGAGTTGCGAAGACTCCATGAAAAAAGAGTCAAACCTAAGCCAACATTCATCGTAAAGCCAGACAATGGCTCTCAGGGGGACGGAATATATCTGATACGAGACTCAAACGAATATAATCCCAATAACAGTAAATCGCATGTGGTGCAGGAATACATGAGCAATGTGTACCTCATTAGCAACTACAAGTTCGACCTGCGAGTTTACGTGGTGCTCAAGTCTCTGGAGCCCCTACAGATCTACATCTGTAAGGAAGGACTGGCCAGGTTTTCTACTTTGCAATATGAAACCCCCACTAAAGGAAACCTTCATGAAACCTTCATGCATTTAACAAATTATTCTCTAAATAAACGTAGTGCCACATTTAATCGATCCGAGAGGGAGGATGATGGAAGCAAACGGACGTTGACTAGTGTGATGCGGAGAATCGGAATCAATGGTCATGATACAGACAAGGTGTGGACAAACATTGAAAAGTGTGTGTGTAAAACTATTATTGCCATACTGCCAGAGCTCAAAGTGGAGTACCAGGCCACCATCCCACCCAACAAACCTGGCCCCCGTTGCTTTCAGGTAAGTCACTGATCTTTGCCACATATGTCAGACCGTCAGTCTTGAGTGGTAAAAAAATCATACTACAAGTCCAAAGGTTTGATAACATAAATTGCTAGTTTCACAGGGCCAGAATTCTAAGGTAATACATGTCTTTTGTATATCTAAACTATGCAAGCCCTTCAGTTATACCCCTCAGTATCCTTATCCTAGCTAATCAACCAGGTCCTCGCCGTTACCGTGCATGTGTGATGCCCCTAAAATCTCTTGAAAATTCCTTGGCCATCATCCTATACACAACAAACCAAATCCTCACTTCTTCCTGGGAAACTTTAGACCCTCATTCCACTGGACAAAGATCAATCTAATATCTTTTAGGTTAATTAATCTCCCCGCTTGATATCCGGCTGCTCCTTAACTCATTCACCCCTGAAGATGCATTTGAACTTCTCTAATTCAAAGGTTGGAATAGTTAATTAAGAAATTTCAGGGGTAAATGAGTTAAGGCTCCTGGACCTTCATTCCAGCTATCTGAACCCAAAACTATTTGGACTTCCTTGGTTATATACTGTTGCATCTGCATACATTTCATATAAACACATTCAAGTAAACACAAGTGAATTGTTCTCTCTGATGTTTCAGGCAGCCCTTGATCAGATGTATTTACAAGGTCACTATCACAGTGTGTTACCAAAATGATGTAATCAAAAGCTTCACAAATTTTTATGTGACATTGAAATGTTAGCTTCCATCAGTTAGGTATACAGGGCAGTTATAGAATGTTTCAGTTCTGAGCAATACATGTCTTTTTGTCATGGTCATACACATTATAGAATAAATCTATCTCAGATGCAATCTTTTAACAGCTCTTTATCTAATAGAATCTGTTTCAACCTGTTAAGAAAAATGTATTGTTGTTTTACATGGGAAAAAACTGAGAGAATAGGCAATTGTTTGACATTTAATTTACAGGGGGATAAAGTAACGCTATGGATGGCTATCATGTTCCCTGTATACATAAGTCATACAGGTGAGCATAATTTATGTGGAGGTGTATTAGTAAAAACATTTGTTATAATCGCGGATCTTGTTACAGGTCCCCACCACATTGGCAACCTGCCAATGTGCCATATATGTTGTCCCACTACTCTTAATACCGTACTTTGTGATAATTCCAGGTTAAACCTGTGAAATGTGTAGGTAATCTAGTGTAATACTAGTAAGTCAGATATACCTACCGTGAAGAGGTATTTCCTATATAAATAGTGACCCAATGTACTACAACAGCAGAAGGATTACATTAGTAGTCTGGTAAATCAAGGAGACCAACATATAGAGATTAATTTTACAAAGTAATATCAGAGTTATAAAATAGTAATTGTTCTTTTCTTCAGCTGTCTGGAATTTTTCTTTGTAAAATAAATGTTTTTTAATGAATTGAAATACAACAACTTAAGAATTGTGTCCTTGAAGACTTAAGAATCCACTCACATTGACTCTCTGTAGGCAACAAAATTAGTAATTTGTCTAATTAATCTGTTTGGGACACATGTACACTTGGCACTGCTGTAGTGTGTATGTAGTGTTGGGGTATACAGTAGGGACACACTGACACCGCTGTGGTGTGTATGTACTGTTGGGGTATACAGTAGGGACACACTGACACTGCTGTAGTGTGTATGTACTGTTGGGGTATACAGTAGGGACACACTGACACCGCTGTGGTGTGTATGTACTGTTGGGGTATACAGTAGGGACACACTGACACCGCTGTGGTGTGTATGTACTGTTGGGGTATACAGTAGGGACACACTGACACCGCTGTGGTGTGTATGTACTGTTGGGGTATACAGTAGGGACACACTGACACCGCTGTGGTGTGTATGTACTGTTGGGGTATACAGTAGGGACACACTGACACCGCTGTGGTGTGTATGTACTGTTGGGGTATACAGTAGGGACACACTGACACCGCTGTGGTGTGTATGTACTGTTGGGGTATACAGTAGGGACACACTGACACCGCTGTGGTGTGTATGTACTGTTGGGGTATACAGTAGGGACACACTGACACCGCTGTGGTGTGTATGTACTGTTGGGGTATACAGTAGGGACACACTGACACCGCTGTGGTGTGTATGTACTGTTGGGGTATACAGTAGGGACACACTGACACCGCTGTGGTGTGTATGTACTGTTGGGGTATACAGTAGGGACACACTGACACCGCTGTGGTGTGTATGTACTGTTGGGGTATACAGTAGGGACACACTGACACCGCTGTGGTGTGTATGTACTGTTGGGGTATACAGTAGGGACACACTGACACCGCTGTGGTGTGTATGTACTGTTGGGGTATACAGTAGGGACACACTGACACCGCTGTGGTGTGTATGTACTGTTGGGGTATACAGTAGGGACACACTGACACCGCTGTGGTGTGTATGTACTGTTGGGGTATACAGTAGGGACACACTGACACCGCTGTGGTGTGTATGTACTGTTGGGGTATACAGTAGGGACACACTGACACCGCTGTGGTGTGTATGTACTGTTGGGGTATACAGTAGGGACACACTGACACCGCTGTGGTGTGTATGTACTGTTGGGGTATACAGTAGGGACACACTGACACCGCTGTGGTGTGTATGTACTGTTGGGGTATACAGTAGGGACACACTGACACCGCTGTGGTGTGTATGTACTGTTGGGGTATACAGTAGGGACACACTGACACCGCTGTGGTGTGTATGTACTGTTGGGGTATACAGTAGGGACACACTGACACCGCTGTGGTGTGTATGTACTGTTGGGGTATACAGTAGGGACACACTGACACCGCTGTGGTGTGTATGTACTGTTGGGGTATACAGTAGGGACACACTGACACCGCTGTGGTGTGTATGTACTGTTGGGGTATACAGTAGGGACACACTGACACCGCTGTGGTGTGTATGTACTGTTGGGGTATACAGTAGGGACACACTGACACCGCTGTGGTGTGTATGTACTGTTGGGGTATACAGTAGGGACACACTGACACCGCTGTGGTGTGTATGTACTGTTGGGGTATACAGTAGGGACACACTGACACCGCTGTGGTGTGTATGTACTGTTGGGGTATACAGTAGGGACACACTGACACCGCTGTGGTGTGTATGTACTGTTGGGGTATACAGTAGGGACACACTGACACCGCTGTGGTGTGTATGTACTGTTGGGGTATACAGTAGGGACACACTGACACCGCTGTGGTGTGTATGTACTGTTGGGGTATACAGTAGGGACACACTGACACCGCTGTGGTGTGTATGTACTGTTGGGGTATACAGTAGGGACACACTGACACCGCTGTGGTGTGTATGTACTGTTGGGGTATACAGTAGGGACACACTGACACCGCTGTGGTGTGTATGTACTGTTGGGGTATACAGTAGGGACACACTGACACCGCTGTGGTGTGTATGTACTGTTGGGGTATACAGTAGGGACACACTGACACTGCTGTAGTGTGTATGTACTGTTGGGGTATACAGTAGGGACACACTGACACTGCTGTAGTGTGTATGTACTGTTGGGGTATACAGTAGGGACACACTGACACCGCTGTGGTGTGTATGTACTGTTCGAGTAGAATTGTTTATAGGTAGCCTCATGGTAAACCAGTGTAAATGTAATTTCCTGTGTACCAGAATGGGTACAGCAATAAGATATTATTGATTGACATACAAGGTACTGGTACATGAAACTTGTAGTAGATATTAATTATGTTCCCTACAATATGTTTAATTATTTACTATGTAAGGCTGAGTTCTCCTGACCTGACTTATTGCAATTGCAACAACATAACATCTTTATCACATAAAAAAATATTGAAAATCTACAACTAGACCAAAAAAAACCCTAAAACATCTTCTTTTTTTTTTTTGGTCACCTGAGCTTTAGCTCAAGTGACCTATTGCTATCCGTCTTTGTCCATCATCCGTTGTCGTCCATCGTCCGTTAACATTTTACATTTTCAACTTAAGCTGAAATACCGGCAGAGGGATTTCATTAATATTTCATGGGAAGGTTAATGACATCTCCCTCACCAAGTGTTGTTATTTTTCGGGTCGATCAGAAATCCAATATGGCCACCACGGCCACCATTTTGAAAAACTATTTCAAACTTAAGTCAAGTTCTGCTGGGCCGATTGAACTGAAACATGGTAGGAATGATCAACTCATGGTCCTGGCAAAGTGTTGTTATTTTTCGGGTCGATCAGAAATCCAATATGGCCACCACGGCCGCCATTTTGAAAAACTATTTCAAACTTAAAGTCAAGTTCTGCTAGGCCGATTGAACTGAAACTTTGTAGGAATGATTGACTCATGGTCCTGACAAAGTGTTGTTATTTTTCGGGTCGATCAGAAATCCAATATGGCCGCCACGGCCGCCATTTTGAAAAACTATTTCAAACTTAAAGTCAAGTTCTGCTAGGCCGATTGAACTGAAACTTTGTAGGAATGATTGACTCATGGTCCTGACAAAGTGTTGTTATTTTGCGGGTCTATCAGAAATTCAATATGGCTGACACAGCCGCCATTTTGAAAAACTATTTCAAACTTAAAAACAAGTTCTAATTTTACTCAAATTGGTACATATTTCAACAACAAAAATAAATACTGTAGGACCGTTAAGGCCCATGGGCCTTTTGTTTTCAATTCATTTCAATAAACACAAGAATACAGTGAGTGAGACAAGTGTGAGAGGTTTATGTAAAGTTAATTGACACAAGTATTGGTCCTGGAAGTGTCGACTATCCTGTTCCATCAACATCAGGGGAGGTTCATCCCTGTACATGTCTTAGTTAGTATTGAAGTTCTGTACTGTAATTGACAATACAGCCTTGTTACAAACTCAGGTACTGCATATATTCAATATCATCTGAATGTTTGATTTGATTCCAGTTCTTTTACTCCTGTTCGAAAGGGGCTAAGAGTGCTTATACATATGTACCATGGTGTGGCATCTCATGTCTTTTCCTGTACAAATTTTCAGTTCAGAACTGCTGAGGCTTTTTGACTTCATTTAAGCTGGAGCTTCTCTGGGTGAAGTGTGTTCAATTTAAACTGGAGCTTTCTTGGTAAAGGGAATTAAATATTGCATAATTTAGGGTTGTAGACCACCTGGGGTAGAGTGGTGGGACTTCATATTGGAAAAAGAGGGAAATGTTTTAAAAATGCTACTCTTTGAGTACTGGAAAAGGGATTTTAATGTGCTTTTGTATTGAGTATCTCTAGGCCAAGAGGATTTAGTTTGTGTAAATGAATGGTTTGATGTTCCTAATGTGGCCCATAAGGAGAAATGGGGGAAGAACATAAAAAAGCTACTGGGTTCAGGTAACTTAAGGATTTCAACCAAATTTGACTTGAAACGTCCCTTGGAAATTCAATGTATTCTAAATGAAGGCTCAAGCGTATCTGAGGGAAAAGGAGCATGACCTACCAGGGGAAATATGGATGAATCTTTTGAACTAAATTTAGTTCAACTTCTGAAGGGTTTTTTTTTGTCAAAATTTCACACAGCTGTTCACAAGATCGCATTGTCCTATTTTTTGCCGAGTTTTTCCAAAGACTTGGTGTGAATATTTCTATTACAGTCATTAACAAGTGCTTTTTGTTGTTGGGATGATTTGCATTCAATATTAAGCCACCCTGTCATATCAGTAGCCGAGCCCATTTTGGCTAATGTAGAATTCAACCAGATCAATTTTAACCACACGTGGTACTGATGGTACTGATTGCCCTACTTTAGTGTTGCTACCTGAGGCATTGTAATTGAAGGGTCTCTCAGAAATCTCAGTTAGCAGATTTTTGTTATGATGTAAAAGATATGCAGAAGGACTTGTTTAACTGTCTGTATACAGACGTTCATTGTGGGATGTGTAACTGTTAGGTGAAAGATGTCTTAAGAAAACAGAATGTTACAAGTTTGCTGTTTTTACATGATTATGTATACACATCCCATAGCACTACTGAACTATTGGTACCTGGTATAATATCGGATATAAATATGAGGAATCACAATGCTTGGTATTTTAGGAGGCACGGTAGTCTAGTGGTAGGACGCCGGGCTCGTGACCGAAGGGTTGCGGGTTCGAGTCACGGCAAAGCACTGTGTTGTATCTTTGAGCAAGATACTTTTCTCTGCTTGTTCTAGTCTACTAGCTCAGCTGTAAATGAGTACGTGATTGGGCAATGCTAGAATTGTAGAATACTAGCTAGCTGTGAGCGCTGAAATGTTTAGCACCGGCTAAATGCTCCCCAGGGAGTTGAGAAAGATATTGGCTGTTTGCAAAGGCCCTATAACCACGGTTAATAATGTGTGAACCGCTTTGAGAAGACCTACGTATTAGGTTGTGATAATGCGGTATATAAGAACCTCAAATTATTATTATTATTACTTTGTTCACTTCAGATCCTCGGGTTTGACATCCTGTTACTTGACAACCTGAAGCCAATCCTACTAGAGGTGAATTCCAGTCCCAGCCTCAGTATCGACGGCGAGCAGGAGGTGGCGCCAGGTGTATTGGAGTATGTTACATGTGCACTGGATGAAATGGTGAAGCGACCGCTAGTGAGAGACGCCCTGTTGTTGATGTCACCTCTACAGAAACTGAAGTCTGGGTAAGGGCAGAAGTCACTACAGTGTGTTTATGTGTGTTAATGTTTGTGTACCTTTCTTCATGTCATTATGTACCCAGTTTTCAGGTCACCTGAGCTGAAGGCTTATGTAACCAGTATTGCTATTTTCCTGCATTTCACTTCATCCATTAAATCTACATTTTGAACTTAGACTCTAATAATACTGAAGGGATTTCAGTGAAACTACATGTATTAGAAGGGTTTTGACACTGTCTGACATGGTCTTGACTAATTTTTTGTATTTTTCTAGTCAGCTTGAAAATATGAAATGTTGCCAGAAGCCATGTCATATACAGTATCAATGAAACTTTAATTAACGTAGGACGTCCCAGTGCTCTGTGTTCGTCCAACCCCAACACCGAGGAGTAAACAGTTATACTACAAGGAAATGTGTTAATGATTAATTCATTATATTGCAATAATATGGTATTCATATGGTAATAATACACGTACCACATATTTTTAGCTTGCACTTATATAGTTGTCAATGACAAACTATCTTTAAAGCATTTTCTGATATCACTTCCTCAATTAGAAAGATATATTAATTGTTGTTTTCTGTTTAATAACAAAAACAAATTGGTTTGTAATTGTACTGGGACAATTATGCCCCTTAATTGTTTACCTTTAATTATCGCACAGTATTTCTCAGGTAGCCATATAGACTTTTATTCTTGGCCTCCAGACCGAGATATTCCTATGTGTACTGGTGCTGGAAAGTCCTATCTGACCCAGACAGGTCTGGATCACTACTGTGACATAACACATCATTAGTGAAGTGATTGTTACGTCACAATAGGGTAGCAGGAAAACGTCTTCCAACAATCAGACTGCCACTGATTTCCATAGTGCTTTTAGGAATAATTTTTGCTTTTTAATCGTAGATTCATAAGCAAAAGGCAAAGGCGGAAGAGGAAGAAGGGAGGTCACTCTAATAGGAATGGCTGCCCTGAGCCTGTACAGCATCAGAGAACTCACATCCTCATTATCAAGGCAGACGAGTCAGACGAGGAGAAACGGGAGGTGGATGTCACACAACAGATGTCCGAACTCAACAATGAACTTGATTTCACCAGGCGTATGTCCTATTCCTTAGGGGGGATGGGAGCTGTTCAAACAAAACCCTTTCATTTGTTCAGATTATTGTTTTAATATCTATGGTTGAGTTTAAGGTGGCTCCACACTTTCGCAATTAACCAGCAAAATTCGTTGAAACTTTCATATAATTGTTATGCAACTATGTCGAGTTGATTTTATGAAAATCTAAACATTCCGATAGTTTGGGGAATTTTTTGGAAAAAATCCCAAAAAATTGAATTTTCGTCAATTCTAATATTTTCCGGGGTTTTTTGTGTGTGGCATTGTTCGGAACAATAACAACAATAATAAAATGAAAAGAAGCATTTCTAATTAACCCTACAAATATTTTATTTATCGCAAAATATGTAACACATGTTACACAAAGTGTTTTTTA